TCTGGCATTGTCATGTCCGTCCTCTCTTTGATGTTATCTGACCAGTTCTTGCATTGCCATCCCTGCTTGCATCTGCCTTTCAATACTGCCTTGTATGATGGTCTTGCAGAGTTTCTTATACCATATGATATGGCTAAACCATAACAACTTCCCCAGGATGACCTGTTGGCGGTTGACTGTCAGGAGTTCTGGCATTGTCATGTCCGTCCTCTTTGATGTTATCTGACCAGTTCTTGCATTGCCATCCCTGCTGCATCTGCCTTCAATACTGCCTTGCATGATGGTCTTGCAGAGTTTCTTATACCATATGATATGGCCAAACCATAACAACTTCCCCCAGGATGACCTGTTGGCGGTTGACTGTCAGGAGTTCTGGCATTGTCATGTCCGTCCTCTCTTTGATGTTATCTGACCAGTTCTTGCATTGCCATCCCTGCTTGCATCTGCCTTATACCAATACTGCCTTTGCATGATGGTCTTGCAGAGTTTCTTTGATACATATGATATGGCCAAACCATAACAATTCCCCCCAGGATGACCTGTTGGCGGTTGACTGTCAGGTTCTGGTATTGTCATGTCCGTCACTCTCTTGATGTTATTGACCAGTTCTTGCATTGCCATCCTGTTGCATCTCTTTGATGATGGTATTTTGGAGTTTTTACTTTTCATATGATTCTTGCCATAACAACTTCCCCCAGGGATGACCTGCTTGACTGTCAGGATTCTGCCTTCCGTCTCTTTGATATCTGACCAGTTCTTGCATTGCCATCCCCATTTGGTCTTCAATACTGCCTTGCATGATGGTCTTTCTTAGTTTTTTACCATGTGATATGGCTAAACTATAACAACTTCCCCAGGATGACCTGTTGTTATGGTTGACTGTCAGGAGTTCTGGCATTGTCATGTCCGTCCTCTCTTTGATGTTATCTGACCAGTTCTTGCATTGCCATCCCTGCTTGCATCTGCCTTCAATACTGCCTTGCATGATGGTCTTGCAGAGTTTCTTTTACCATATGATATGGCTAAACCATAAACAACTTCCCCAGGATGACCTGTTGGCGGTTGACTGTCAGGAGTTCTGGCATTGTCATGTCCGTCCTCTCTTTGATGTTATCTGACCAGTTCTTGCATTGCCATCCCTGCTTGCATCTGCCTTCAATACTGCCTTGCATGATGGTCTTGCAGAGTTTATACCATATGATATGGCCAAACCATAACAACTTCCCCAGGATGACCTGTTGGCGGTTGACTGTCAGGAGTTCTGGCATTGTCATGTCCGTCCTCTCTTTGATGTTATCTGACCAGTTCTTGCATTGCCATCCCTGCTTGCATCTGCTTTCTTATACCAATACTGCCTTGCATGATGGTCTTGGTGAGTTTCTTATACCATATGATATGGCCAAACCATAACAACTTCCCCCAGGATGACCTTGTTGGGCGGTTGACTGTCAGGAGTTCTGGCATTGTCATGTCCGTCCTCTCTTTGATGTTATCTGACCAGTTCTTGCATTGCCATCCCTGCTTGCATCTGCCTTCAATACTGCCTTGTATGATGGTCTTGCAGAGTTTCTTATACCATATGATATGGCCAAACCATAACAACTTCCCCAGGATGACCTGTTGGCGGTTGACTGTCAGGAGTTCTGGCATTGTCATGTCCTCTTTGATGTTATCTGACCAGTTCTTGCATTGCCATCCCTGCTTGCATCTGCCTTCAATACTGCCTTGCAGATGGTCTTGATAACAACTTCCCCCAGGATGACCTGTTGGCGGTTGACTGTCAGGAGTTCTGGCATTGTCATCGTCCTCTCTTTGATGTTCTTGCATTGCCATCCCTGCTTGCAGCATCTGCCTTCAATACTGCCTTGCATGATGGTCTTGCAGAGTTTCTTATACCATATGATATGGCTAAACCATAACAACTCCCCCCAGGATGACCTGTTGGCGGTTGACTGTCAGGAGTTCTGGCATTGATGTCCGTCCTCTTTGATGTTATCTGACCAGTTCTTGCATTGCCATCCCTGCTTGCATCTGCCTTCAATACTGCCTTGCATGATGGTCTTGCAGAGTTTCTTATACCATGTGATATGGCCAAACCATAACAACTTCCCCCCAGGATGACCTGTTGGCGGTTGACTGTCAGGAGTTCTGGCATTGTCATGTCCGTCCTCTTTTGATGTTATCTGACCAGTTCTTGCATTGCCATCCCTGCTTGCATCTGCCTTCAATACTGCCTTGCATGATGGCCTTGCAGAGTTTCTTATACCATGTGATATGGCCAAACCATAACAACTTCCCCCAGGATGACCTGTTGGCGGTTGACTGTCAGGAGTTCTGGCATTGTCATGTCCGTCCTCTCTTTGATGTTATCTGACCAGTTCTTGCATTGCCATCCCTGCTTGCATCTGCCTTCAATACTGCCTTGCATGATGGTCTTGCAGAGTTTCTTATACCATATGATATGGCCAAACCATAACAACTTCCCCCAGGATGACCTGTTGGTGGTTGACTGTCAGGAGTTCTGGCATTGTCATGTCCGTCCTCTCTTGATGTTATCTGACCAGTTCTTGCATTGCCATCCCTGCTTGCATCTGCCTTCAATACTGCCTTGCATGATGGTCTTGGAGTTTCTTATACCATATGATATGGCCAAACCATAACAACTTCCCCCAGGATGACCTGTTGGCGGTTGACTGTCAGGAGTTCTGGCATTGTCATGTCCATCCTCTCTTTGATGTTATCTGACCAGTTCTTGCATTGCCATCCTGCTTGCATCTGCCTTCAATACTGCCTTGCATGATGGTCTTGCAGAGTTTCTTATACCATGTGATATGGCCAAACCATAACAACTTCCCCCAGGATGACCTGTTGGCGGTTGACTGTCAGGAGTTCTGGCATTGTCATGTCCGTCCTCTCTTTGATGTTATCTGACCAGTTCTTGCATTGCCATCCCTGCTTGCATCTGCCTTCAATACTGCCTTGAATGATGGTCTTGCAGAGTTTCTTATACCATGTGATATGGCCAAACCATAACAACTTCCCCCAGGATGACCTGTTGGTGGTTGACTGTCAGGAGTTCTGGCATTGTCATGTCCGTCCTCTCTTTGATGTTATCTGACCAGTTCTTGCATTGCCATCCCTGCTTGCATCTGCTTTCAACAGTGCCTTAAATGATAATCTTGCCGAGACTGTTATGCTATGTGATGTGAACAAACCATGACAACTTCCGAGGCTTAATAATGACAAGAAGAGATTCTTGTTGGCCCATGTGGCTTTTGACCTTGCTTTGTACATAGTCATTGGTTTTGTGCTCCTAGTAGAAGAGCTGAAGGAACTTTCTCAAGCATTTGTTTTCAAATGCCTGGATCTTTTTTTTTCTGCCTCACTCAGGTCTGTAAGAGAGGATGGATACAACCAGTGATTTGTAGAGCTTGACTTTGGGATGGTAGCTGGTGTTACTCTTCCATATCCTTTCCAGTCTGTCCATTGTCACTGTGGTAATCTATGTGCGGATTTCTGCATTGTAAGCATCATCATTTGACAGAGTTATTTGAACCTGGACACTTCCTCCAGTGGTTCACCATCTGTGGTGACACTGGCACTGGTTTTGTTTGTACCATTCACCATTATCTTGAATAATGTCCTTAAAATAGCAACCAACATTCATATTTATAATTGTTATTGCAATCTTTTGTTAACGTTGTTAAACTGAAATATTTAACGATACGATAGGGGAATTTCTACAGATATTTTATTGTCAAAGAACTCATCATGAATTTATTCAATCATTAACTGAAGAATTAGGATTCATCAGAAATTTGAAATAGGAAAGCCATGAAATTATTATGGGTTTTTCTAGTTTTATTAAGGTTTTTAAGCTCAAATATTTAACAATGCAATATAGGAATATTTTTGGATATTTTATTGTTGTAGAACTTGCCATTAGCTTATTCAATCATTAACTAAAGATTTAAGATTAATGAGAAATTTGAAATAGGAAAACCATGAAATTATTACAGGTCTTTCTAGTTTTGTTAAAGTTGTTAAGCCCAGATATTTAACGATGCGATAGGGGAATTTCTACGGATATTTTATTGTCATAGAACTCGCCATGAGAATTCATAAGAAAATTGAAATAGGAAAAACCATGATTATATATATATATATATATATATATATATATATTTTCACACACCCCATAGGAAGGAAAAATGAAGTTATTACGGGTCTTTTTAATTTTGTTAAGATTAGACGTTTAACGATGTGATAGAGGAATTTCTATGGATATTTTTTTGTCGTAGAACTTGCCATGAGTTTATTCAATCATTAACATCAGAAAATTCAAATAGGTAAACAGTGAAATTTTCTCAGGTCTTTCTTGTTTTTTTATTATTATTATCTGTAAATGTATGAAATATTTTTATTGGTAGTTCTTGCTATGAGATTGGGGTTATGTTATGAAATCTAACTTCTGAAGAGATTTGAACTCCTATATCAAATGCTTAGCAGTCAACTTAATATGGAATATGCTTTAACAATTTCACTACAAAAAGTAAGTCAAATTCCAAGAGCTACAATCATCTCTTTATTAAATTTACCACACCATATCATTCATTTACAGCAAGTATTAAGGTGTTTGAATGACTGAGATTTGAGATGACTGACATTACTAATTTTTGATTTTCATTTCTGTTGCTTTTTATTAGTATCAATGTCAGATAGGTTGATAACAGCAGGAGAATGGAATTAAAATCTCATGGGTATCATTTCTTTATTTGTGATCTGTATGTCACTTACATAAGTGTTGTAGAATAGTAAAAAAAAACTAGACATTACAATAAAAAGTAGAAAAATGAGAAAGACTGACCAACAATGAATAATGGCAACAATGCTTCATCTAAGAAATTCATGCAGCACTACTACTACTACTACTACTACTTGGTATAACTTTACAGGATTACTTATAAATTTTGAATTAACCAGATTCTTTTATCTTGTAGAGAATCTGACATCCACAATGGTACCAAGTGGTCAAATCCTGATGGACTTTTTAAATCAATCAATGTCTGTGCCCAAAGAAGCCCTCCAAATCTTCCAAAATACATACGTAAATTATGAGGAGGTAAGTGTCAAATCTAATGGGGTCATGACCTTCAAATAGGTTCAAACAAATAATTTCAGTTCAACTTCTCGAATATGTTAAAGAACTTCTTTTTTTTTTTTTTTTTTTTTTTTAAATTAACAAACCTTTGAGGCTAGATTTTTCAAACACTTTCAGTCCAGGGTTACCCGGTTATGCCTTCACTTGGATAGTACTAAAACTTTTATAATTCAATACTATGATTGTACTTTTTCAAGCAATGGTAAGTAACTGGTGATTAAATGATTTTTAAGGAAATTTAAAAACAAAGTGTTACCTCTTCTGAAAGTTAAAGTGGGTGGGGGGATATAAGATCAGAATTGAAAATAGACTTATGGGTATGTCTTGATTAACCAATTAAATGTCAGATCTATGCTAAATAGAAAATTAAGCTTAGTGGGTTGAGATGGGTGAGTTATTTTTTTGTGATGATAAACCAGAACATAGACAAGCCATCATTGACGATTACAGAAAATCTTCTGACATTTAATTGGTTGATCAAGACATACCCAAAAGTATATTTTTAATTCTGTTCCCCTCCACTTTAACTCTCAGAAAAGTGGTAATACTTTGATTTTAAATTTCCTTAGAATTATTTAATCACCAGTTACTTACCATCGCCTGAAGAAGTACAATCATAGTATCGAAACATGAAAGTTTTTGTGTAGCGATTTCAAAATGTTTTTATTATAATCTCTTATGATAAAAATATAATAATAATAATATATTGCTCTACTTTGTATTGAGCACTTTTTTAAAAGTAAATGCTATAAACGGTGGAATTTACTCCATCTGTTCTTTCTCTCATTTGGATATATAAGCACAAAATCAATAATGTTTTATGTTGGAAAGTACTTTATTTATCTTAAATGCTGTCTTAATTATTTTTATACCACTGAAAAAAATAAAGCTACCAAAATGTTGTTTTTTTTTGCTTACTTTATACAATTTTCCGTGTATTTCATAGATTTTTGTGCGACTGATAACAGAAAATGCTCTTGAGAAAAGGATCTGCAATAACTTACGGCTCCCTGATATCCTAGTATTTCCTGCTGAATTTAACCAGACACTGATTTTAAAGTATGAAAACTTGCTCTGTTCACTAAAGTGGACAGATGTGGCCAATCACCTTGAAAAGAATGCCACCACCAACAAGATTTCACAGGCTGTAAGTTTATAATCAATTCTTACATTTCCATGAAAATTTTCTCTATTTTTCTCCCACCGACCTAAATAAAATTTCACTCTCATTAACTGATGAAAAATTAATAGGATACAGTCAAATATTTCCTGTCTGGTTTTATCAGTACCACTTTCTAGTTGCAAGTTGCATTTTTTTTTTTTTTTTTTTTTTAAATTGTATTTATCACTAAAGAACTAATAAAAGTAACAATTCTTTTCATCTTTGCATTCTATAAGACATTAAATAACACATAGGCATTGATCTTTTCTAAGTGGCCTTCCCTTCTTTACAATTAATAAAGATAACAAGCACAATAGAGATTTTACAAGTATTTTTATCTTTGCATTCTATAAGATATAGTGCTATTTTCTCACTAGACAGTTACTAATATCACCATCAAAACAAATATTTCCATTTAATTTTTCCATTTAATTTCAACAGGTTTTAAAATGGCCTTATAGGGAATTTTAAAAAACAATAAGATGAAAAATTTTCATAGGCATTGGTCTTTTCTTTACATTGAAAAGACATTTTTATCTTTGCATTCTAAATGGTGCTCTTTTTCCATTTAATTTCAGCAGGTTTTCCTCTAGATTTTGCAAGATGAAAAATGTTCATCTTTACATTGAAAAGACATTGTAAATGGCCTTCTCTTCATGGGAATTAATAAAAATAACAAGCAGAATTGAGATTTTACAAGTATTTTCATCTTTGGATTCTATAAGACATTAAATAACACATAGGCATTCGTCTTTTCTAATTGACCTTCCCTTCCTTGAAATTCGCAAAGATAACAAGCACAATAGAGATTTTACAAGTATTTTCATCTTTGCATTCTATAAGACATTAAATAACACATATGCATTAGGGTTTTTTTTCTAAATGGCCTTCTCTTCTTGGGAATTAATAAAAATAAAATTTACAACAGAGATTTTACAAATATTTTTGGCTTAGAATTCTATAAGAAAGTAAATAGAACCAATGTCTTTTCTAAATGCTCTTCCCTTAACATTTTTTTACTTGTATAACATGACATGTAGGATTGTATTCTTTGATACCATTTGCAGGGAAGTATTCTTGATCTGGCTTGACTTTTCTCATATCAACGATCATAGAATACCAGTTAAATGTAACTTTGGTAACAAGAATATTCCAATTGAATGCTTTCATGAATTTCCTGAGATACCTCAGGATTAGAAATAAAATCTCGCACTCTGTTTTTTTACATGATTGTTCCCTCCAGCAATCATTTAGTAAACAACTGAAAATGTATATATCATCGCCCAAATTAGATTTCCTTTAGTCAAAATTGTTATAACTTTTTACTTTTTATTGAAAGTAAATCCGTTCATTGACATTGAAGGCAAATAGTAGTGTAATTGCTTCAGTTATTGTTTATTTTGCATCATTAATATGGATTTTTTTATTTTACCCCAAGTAAGGCAATAAAGCCACTAAGATGCAAGAGGGTTACTGAGAGTGTATGAGAAAAAAAACTTCTTGAAGGCTCCTGCCCTGAGCCCTCAAATCTGTAGGTGACCAGGGTGCTTGTCATAATCTTTCATATCCTTCACATGTTCAAAGCATTAATCTATAAGCAGCCTTGGTCACTTCATAGTTTTCTGCAATAGTTTTGTTGAAATTAACACAAGACTTTCTCTGAAAAATGTGAAATGATAAAGTCAGAGTGTCCTACTTGTAAGGAGATTACAGTTTTGTATAATTTTAAAATAAATGTTTATCCTGAAAAGTAATTAAAAATACTAGAGATAATGACAAACAAGAAATGTCTTGTGAGTTTTCTTATGTCCCAGCAAGGCAATAAAGCCACTAAGATTTAAGGGATTAAGGAGAGAGTACACTAAAAGAACAGGATTCAAGAAGGCAGAAGATAATGACTGATGCTGCATTTAAATTTTTCATGTAATACTTTCTTTCATCTTCTCTTTGCTTCCAGATCCATCTCCTTGGAGATAATCCCAACTTGGACATCAAACTGAATTGGACAGAATTGTCTGAGAAGACAAAGTATACAATCAAGATGCTGCCTACACTGACAAAAATTCTTCAAAAGACTTACATTGGCACTTTTTACAATTTCTTCTTGGGTGATCAGTCTGTAGTAAATTGGATGGCATCAGATGGTTCAATTCTGACAGACAACAGGTACAGAATTTACCATTTTCTTTTATATTGGCACATACTCAGATTCATGATATTTTGAAAACCATATATTTGTCTCTTCTTGTCTAACTTCTTTCAGCTATTAGTAAAAAAAAAAGTAGAGTGGACATTACTTGACTAATGGAGAAGTATTGGATTATGTGCATTAACAATGTATTAAATGCTGATTTCAGTGTCAATATACTCCATCTTGCACATTTATAAATCTACCATTTGGCTATGCATTGAATATTGCTGCCATATCTGGTCTGGTGCTCTGGTTACATACCTTGAGATTCTCTAGAAAATCCAAAAAAAGTTCTGTCATGTAATCTGTCCTGACCTAACATTTCAAATTCTGTCACTTTCTTGGAACATTGACGTGGCTTCCCTCTGTCTTTTCTATATTTTCATGGCAGTTGTTCCAATGAGCTCACCTCCTTGGAACCTCAACCACATGAATTTAAGCATGTACCACTAGATTAGTAACTAAGTCACATTGTTTTACTGTTGAAATAGCTTAATGTAACCGTAAGTTCTATTCTATAAATATTTTCATGGTAATCATTTTGATGAACTTTCCTTTATGGTACCTAGACTTTATGAATTTAAGTGCAATACTAATTTAGCCAGGATGTCTCATCATTTTACATTTAAAATGGCTAGATATAACCATAAGTTCTATACTAACAGTTTCCTCTATTGCACCTCTTACCTGTGGAAATCTCTTCCAGTTTCTTGCTTTCCTGCCAACTATAATCTTCAAAAATTTAAATGCAATGCCAACTGCCATCTTCTATGTTTCTGAAATTTGTACTTTTATTGTCCTTTCTTCTCACTAGTCTTCTCATTCTCTTTCACTCCCAGTAACCCCTTGTGTCTCAGTGGCATTATCGCCATCTTCTGTGTTTCTGAAATTTGTTCTTTTATTGTCCTTTCTCCTCACTAAAGCTTTTTCACTCCCAGTAACCCTTTGCATCATACTGGCTTATCACCATCTTCTGTCTTCCTGAATTCTGTTCTTTTATTGCTCTTTCTCCTTCCTAATGTCTTCTCCTTCTTTTTCACTCTCATTAACCCCTTGCATTGTTTGAATACAGTTGGTAGATCATGTCACATGCTTAGACAGACTCGGTAGATCGAGTCATGCGCTTAGGCGGGCTTGGTAGATCGAGCCACGCGCTTAGGCGGGCTCTTTCAGATTTAGCCAAACGCTTAAAATTTTTTCGGTAGATCGAGCCACGCGCTTAGGCGGACTCGGTAGATCGAGCCACGTGCTTAGGCGGACTCGGTAGATTGAGCCACGCATTTCATATTTTTAAGAAAATCGAGCCACGAAAAAGGCGGGTTCAAAGATCGAGCCACGCCAAACAGGGTGGGTTCATTTCATTAATCAAATTGAGCCACGCGCTTAGGGCGGGTTCATGATCGAGACACGTTCTTAGGGGACTCAGGTCAATTGAGCCACGAGACAGACTCGAAAGATCGAGCCAACGGCTTTTGTAGAACTGAAGATCAAGTCTTTTGTGTGGATGTCATGTATGTTATCAAACTTGTTCAGAAATGCCTAAACTATCAGCTGTATCTAAAGAAGTAATGAATTTTTTATTTATTAATCCAATAGGTTTTATCACTTTAAATGTTATTTTTAGTGGATGTCCATATTTGGGTAGACACTCCATTTTTTTTTTTTTTAAACATACAACGTGTGTTAGCATGTGCGATACCCTGTCTTTATCAGCCACCGACCAGGGGTAATATGGTTTTCGGCAGCTATGGCGGGACTGCCACCCCTGGGGCCACCAGCAGCGCTTGCCACTAGTGTTTGCTCCATTTACTTATTAAACAGTATATTGAGTCTACTGGCCTGAATATTCACGAAACCCTAAAAAAAATATGTGCCCTCCGGTAGTACTTGAACCTGCATCCCCCTTTTCAGGAGAAACAGTTGATAGATCCGATGCGCTCTAGACCAGCCATGGAGTGTGTCACTAATCAAAGCTTAATCAACTGTAGACAACTGTTTTCTCAGATCAGTGATTAAAAATAGCTTCAAGCGAATGACTAATTTAGGACTTCATCAGAACCTATAGACTTACAGTACAGCATCTCAAAGAAAGATCTTGGCCAAATAACAAAAATCACATCAGTTGGGAACTTTCAACAGCAGCAACAACTAAAATGGATATAATAAAGATTTTGAGCTTCCACATTACCTTAAACAGAAGATTAGGAAGGAAATTTCTATCATACTAAAAATAGAGATAGCAGTGAACTTAAAGAAAAAAAACAAATCTCCTGTAAAACTTTTTTAAGAGAAAGATTTTATGAATTTCAACCAACAGTAGCACTGGCTGATTGGTCAATGAATGCCAAATGTCTCCATGTCAATAAACGGCTGATCTTCTTCTGTGTGTCATTTGCCTTCAGGAGGTGGGTGCTCATGACATTCCACAATCTCCTGTCCTTTGTAGCTCTTAGTAAAGTTTATAACTCTAGTAGCACTGGCTGCTTGGTCAATGAATGCCAGATGTTTCCTTATAAGGAAATGGCTAATATTGCCATTAGAGATGAGGTGAACACATACTACACTTTGATCCCAGCCTGATGTTCAGATAGTGAAGAAAAGCATAACTCTAGTAGCACTGGCTGCTTGGTCAGTGAATACCAAATGTCTCCATGTCAACAAACGGCTGATCTTTTTATTCCACTTCTTCTATGTATCATTTCCCTTCAGGAGGTGGGTGCTCATGGCTCTCCACAATCTCCTGTCCTTTGTAGTTCTTAGTAAAGTTAGTCTTTTTACTATATCTCCTAAATCCTGTCCTGCCAACCATCTACTCCAGCTTGTTAGCTAAATTATCTACTACTCTCCTTTGTTCCTCTTGCCATCAATATGTCCTGTGAGTGTCTAATTTTCCAAGCCCTCTTTCCACATCATTTACCCTAGATATTATTATCTTGAAAAAATATTCTTACAATCTAAAAATATTTTCTGATTTTAAATAACCTGGAAAGGGTTGATAAGCCATAAAAAAACAAATCAACATATCACCACCCCTCCCAAACTGTCATAACATAATAACCATCACCCCGTTTGAATGCATGAGAGGACTGACAAGCTGCACAAATTATGTTGAAGGATATTTTATTCCATCAGATACATATGCAGCTGTGAAAACTGCAATTAAGACAAAAGGGTTTGCATAAGCACAGTGGTGGAAATGTACGTGGGGGTGGGCGTCAAAGGCAAATATTTCTAAAGAAACAACAAACTTTACAAAGATACAATGACAGAACAAAGAATTTTTGATGAGGTTTTACAAAACGTGTTTTATATTATAAAATCCGCAGAAAGCATTTATCTGTATAAGTTACAAAGACTAACATTTAATTTTAATTATCTTTTGATTCACGAAAGTAATAAATTATACATTAAAAATGATTTTAGGCTATTCCAAACTTATTTACTTTAAATGCTAAATTATGTGTATGGTTTATGAGAAATAGCATTTACCTGGTTGGCACCATGTGGGCTAGGTGATTTGAATGCATTGAGCATAATGAAAAACAGTTCTGACTGCTCCAGGATCTTTGTCTGAAAAGCCCCAAAGAAAATTACCTGCAAGACTCTTGTATAGGGACCAAATTCCTGGGCACTAGAATTGGAGAACCTGCTAACCTTTCAGTCATTTTTATCATTAGCCCTGTAGTGTACTTAAAGCACCTTCTTTCTTTCTTTCTTTTTTTCTTTTTTTTTTTTTTTTTTAATATTATCTATTGTTTCTATCCTGAATATGTAATATTTCTCTTCCTTTCTTTTTACAAATTATAAAACCCTGGGAACTATTTCGTTTGGCAAAAATGCCCTGAGAGTAACCAGGTTACTGTTGGTCTCAAACATGGGGTGGGTTTGGTGAAAAACAACCCTGCTGATTTTACTAACATGTGTACGGTGGCAGTCACAACAGGTTAGGTCAGTGTCTGCACTGGAAAATCTGTCATCACTCCTGGATAAAAAAAAAAAAAAACAGATGCAAATAACAAATACCACATTACTTGAAAACATCCAACAGCAACAACTAAAATGGATAACACCTGTAACTTTAAAAGAAAATGACGTAATGAAGAAGTTGACTTTCTGCACCACTTCAAACAAAAGATTAGGAAGGAAACTCCCATCAATATTAGAGACGTAAAAAAACTCGAGAAACCTATTTTGTCGAAAAACTGTTTCAAGAAAAAATTTTTTTATTTATTTTAACCAGCAATTGTTCGGTCAATGAATGCTGAAAGTTTCCTTATAAGGAAACGGCTAATCTCACCATTACCATTTGTTTTGTATTTACAGAAAAATGGAGAGCGCCATAAATGAAACATTAAATGTGGTCAGTTTGTTCCTCGAGACTTTTGTTTCAAACAATGAATTTGAATATTTATCAAAGAATTTGAAGATTTTTGAAGAGATTCTCTATTTCATCTATCAATCGAATATGAACAGTAAGTCCTAGATTTACAATTGAATGATATCTCAATCATTTCAACCATTTTTTTTTTATAAATCTTTGATTTTATTTCAAATTAGTAAACACTTTTGTTTTTGTTTTTTCTTTCTTATCTGTACTCCTGTTAAATTAAAATAGATTCTTTTATTCTTCATAGTCTTAAAATCATTTTCTTTATAAATATTTGATTCTTTCTGGGCAGAAGTTTCCAGTGTATTTTAAGAAAATATCTTACATTTACATTAATTCATAATATCAGTATTTGGCTATAAAATATTTCACTGGCTAGCAATGGAATCCTTACCATAATATTCCAGGAAGAGCTAGTATTCAAATTATTTCTAATGCATTCCTATAGTAAAACCATTTGCAATGAATTTTTATAGATACTTTTAGTATTTGCTATATCACTAGATATGGAATCATTAGAGGGAATGAAAGTTTGGATTGATTTGTTTCATAAATCCTAGCCATAATATTCCAGGAAGAGCTAGTATTCAAATTATTTCTAATGCATTCCTATAGTAAAACTATTTGCAATGAATTTCTATAGATGCTTTTAGTATTTGCTATATCACTAGATATGGAATCATTAGAGGGAATGAAAGTTTGGATTGATTTGTTTCATAAATCCTAGCCATAATATTCCAGGTTCCATAAAGAGCTAGTATTCAATTCATTTCTAATGCATTCCTATAGTAAGTGATTGTAAACCTTGCTTTTAATATTTATATCACTAGATATGGAATCATTAGAGGGAATGAAAATTTTGAGGAATTTTCTTTTTAACAGTACATATCCATATTTTATATATATATGAAGAAATATAGTTTTAAGATGTGCTATATTTACGGCATAAGGTACTCAATATCATATGTAAATATAAAAGTGAACATTGAAGTCAACACTCAGAGGCAACAGGCTGTTTCATGCTAGATGCAATCTTATGTGTTTATCATTTGACACAAGAAATTCATTTTTATTTCAGACCAGATCAATAATTTGATTCAACTCTTTTCAAGTGATCCAGAACTTTTGGAACTGATACGTCCAATTCAACTTTCTCCAGTTACAGCAAATACTCTCTTAAGAGTCTTTATGAAAGTGGTTAAGGATCCACAAAGTACGGTAAGAGAAAAACTATTAAAACAATTACATGTCAGCTTATTTTCAAAGCCATTTCCTTTTTCTTTTTTTTTTTTTTGCAATCACCTAATCTGGCAAATTTAATTGACGTCCAATGAGAACTTCTTGCACAATAATTAGACTGAGTTACCCAAAAGAGATTTTGTCCCCCAACCTTAAAGTACTCTACTTTAAACCATTTGTTCTTATCCCATCATTCCTTTCCTTGCACTTCTTAAAACCATTGTCTTTTGGGAAAGCTATTTTTCGCTTTGTCACATGTCCCAGAGAACAAAATATGTGGGTTGGACTAACATAATACCTAGGTGACATAACATTTTGGCAAAAAACCCACCCTTACATGTGCAGGATCTATTCACTTAGTTTATTGTGAATGTGATAATTACACATTATAATAGTTTACTCAATGGCTTCTCAATGTTGATTGAGTAACCTCATAGGAGAGTGTCTATTCATACATATGGAATAAGTCACCTTTTTACAGGTCATTGTCAACTTACAACCTATACAACTTAAAATTGTTTGATTTTTATGACCACAACTGTGAATTGTTATATCTGACTGTTTAGTCACATCTGGAAGAGTGAGTGTTTCCCAGTTTGGTGTAAGACAGCTTTCATTCCAGTTCCCAGCAGCACTATCATTCCCTCGTACACTTCTTATGCCGAGTATTAGGGCAGTACCCTTTGCCCTGAGTCTGTTTGTGTTTTTGATGTCTGCCAAAGAGAAATGGTTTTTGTCAACTCCTCAACCTGACAAGAAGGAAAGAAAGGCTGATTAAACAGTGCAAAGGTGGAAAGAAAGTGAATGCAATTGCATCTGCCAATATTTTTGCAACACAGGGAAAGAATTTGTAAAGATGTCTAAGCTTCACAAATGTGATCAACAGTTATAATGAAGCAACACACTGGGCCCATCAACAAAACTGAGAAATTGTTGAATTTAAAATAAGTTGTTGGATGGAAAATCAGATCCAAAAAAGGTTCTTTTGAGCCTTTTTACTGTGTAGTTGAAGGCTGGAAGTCTATATGTTTTCTTGTATGTTTAGCAAATAGTAGATCAACTGTACTGTAATATACAGTGTTTGCTGTATATTAAACCTGACAAATGTAAAAATGAGGAACAAAACAATGTTTGGAGAGTTATCAAACATAAAGCAACTGTAAAAATTATTTTAAAAAATACAATCATGTCTAAAGAAAGATTGTAAAATTAATTACAAGCTGACTTATGACCCAATCGATTTACAACCTGTCGGTCATAACCAATCATGGTCATAAGTTGATGACCTGTATTGATTATGAAATTATATCAAAATCATGCAACCAATTCTGGAAAGTGATATGATAGCAATAAAACATTTTTTTTTTTTCTAATCAGACTTTGAACAAAAATTACAGATTAGTGCACCAATTACAATTATTATTATTAAACACAGTCAACAGATTTTGATTATCAAAGAAATGACGAAAGACAAAAAATGAGCTTATGGTGGTTATGAGGTTATCAGTTATTGATGAGTTTATCTTACGATAACGTCCACTCCCACCATATATTGGTTTTATTGATTTGGTCATATATTGACCTTCTTGTGTAATTTATTAAAAGAATATGTTCAGAGTGTTGATAAAGACAAAAGAAATCTTTATAGAACATAATAACACAGAATAAGTTGAAAGTTGAAGTTTCAAGAGTTCAAGTGTAAAAGTCCTGGCACATAAGAGCAATAGAGAAAAGGTCCAGGTGGGAGTATACATAAGAGAGACAGACAGACAGACAGAGGCAAAGAGAGGGAGAAATACAGTGAGAGGGAAAGGGACATACACAAGGGAAGTGATAGAGAGAGGGTTATGGAGAGAGAAAGAGAGGAGGAGAGACAGCCCCAGTGCATAAGAGAGATAAAGAGAAATGATTCATATCCAAATGTAGTATCTGCTGAGTCTGTCTATATTTCTGAGATGAGGTATTATGTACATTATTTACATTATTTGGACTATTGTCCTCATCTTTGTCGCCATATTTATCACAACATTTCGGCCATTGTACACTCCGGCCTTCTTCAGGTGGTTGGAATGTCGAACTGTACCCTTTATTTCGCTCACTGGGGTAGACTGTTCTAGTTCCACGTACCATGTCTAATGGATGTCAGTTATCAGTTATCTCCTGTTAATTTCCCTCTGAAAGTTCTCCACTGCCTTAACTGGGTATTGAACTCACACTCTTTGGGTCCTGTCACGGGATCCAACCAACGCCTGAGGACATCTGGGTATGAATTTCTGGGTATCATAAACCTAATGTCTTCAGCAACCATTTTTACCAGTGCTCATATTGCAATTTTGCTGTTATTTCATGTTTTTAGCAGAGCTCATATTGCAACTATGTTGTTATCATTGCTTTTCTCTGGCACTCCTTATTACTGGTTCCCATATTGTATTTATTTCTATGCTTGGTCGGCTCAGGAGATTTTTTTGTGGCCTAGCATATGTGCTGATTCCTTTAAGTTTACGAATTTTCCAATGGTGTTCCTTGTCTATGATCTCAACATGATCCCACAGAGGGTGGTGATCTCCTTCTCTCTCCATATGTGGTCAGCCATGCCTGATTTTTTCTACTTCCCTCGTGTTACAGCTTTCTGGTGTTCTTGAAGCCTTACCTTGAGGGGCGGCCTGTCTCTCCTTTATATTCCTTTCCACAGCTGCATGGGATAGCGTACACACAGTCTTTAGTCATGTTCTCCTCTATGGGGGTCTCACTCGGGAGAGATATCTGCGAAGTGTCGTCAAGCTTTTGAAGGTTGTCCTGATGTTATATGGACCGCAGATCCTTTGTATTTTCTCTGATAACCCCTTCACATAAGGCAGGCAGACTGTTTTCTGAGTGTTGTTGTCCTCCTCCTCTTGTACCCGTCTATCCCAGTTTTTGGTGGCTGCTGCCATGTACCCAGGGTAGTTGTTACGTTGTAGGGTACTACTTATACTAACCAATTCTTTATCTAACATCTCTGGATCGCCACTTATGATTTTTGCTCGGTGTTGTAAGCAACGGACGATCCCTTTCTTTACACTGTATGGATGGTGGGAGTTGAAATTGAGGTACTGTCCGGTGAATGTCGGTTTACGGTATACGGATGTCTTAAACCCATGCTCTGTTCGAGATAATAAAACATCCAGGAATGGGAGTGTATTGTAACTCTCTTTCTCCATTGTGAACTGTATCGAAGGTCTTATTGAGTTCACATGGTCCAGTAGAACCTGAACATCTTCCTGGTGTGGGCAGAGTATGAAGGTGTCATCTACGTACCTTAACCATATAGTTGGCTTTAGAGATATAGATTCTAATGCCATTTCCTCAAAGTATTCCATGTATATATTCACCATGTAAATAATGTAGTATCTGCTGTTTGACAATGCGGTGAAGGAATGTATGCATTTTTAAATATAGAATGAAGGTGTAGCTGTCTAAGATCATCAGCTAATCCTTCACATGTATTTCATCTCTGGATATGTTACGATGACTGCATCATCAGAGAATGGATAAAATTAATTCATCAACTCTGGTTTTGGTTGATTTTCCATCTGGTTATATACACATCTACAGATCCACTTTGAAAAGGGTGATTTTATAAGCACAGCTTAGATGTGGCTCAAGGCCAAAAGTATAGGGCTATCCTGTGAAAATCTGCTTTGAAAAGGGCACTTTGCTTCTCATTGGCTTACAGCCTATATCCTTGTGAAAGCTTTCTGATTGGTTGTTTGAGCAGTTCATTTTTTAGAAATGGTGAAATTTTGGTCTCTTTGTTATTATTTGTTTATTTCTTGTCTTACAGATTGGTGTGAAAGTGTTCTGATTGGTTGGTTAAACTATGGCTTTGTTTGTCTGGCAATTTTTATCTGTCTATTGAGATGTTGAAATTTTGGTTTTCTTGATATTTATTTTTATTTGTTTTGCTATCAGCACAAGATCCCTCAGTCTAACAGTTCGTTGCATGTTTAATAATTATTCTTATTTTTATATTTTTATTTTTTACAGGTCACTGCTTTGATGAAAGCTGAAACCTGGGATAAAATTTGTACAGATGAAGCAGCATTCACACAACTTTTTGGTAAAGAACTTGGCATCCAAGGGAATTTGCAAAATCTGCAAAGGGTTCTGTGTAAAGACCTACTTTCTACCAACCTGACACGTCTTATTGAAAAACTTCGACAGCATATACCTGAACTTGATATGATGGCAAAATCGGTAAATATTTTTTTAAAAGTTTATCCTATTAATGATGGAGAAAGGGTAACTTTGAAATGCAGGCATGCAGACCATGACAACCGTTATTAGTTATAAGAGAAATTTGCAGATCTATATAGTTCTTTGATCAAATCTTGACCGTGTCAAGAACTTGAAAGATGGTTTCTAATGGATGAGAATATAAAGTATTTAATTGGTTGTATGCTGCTGTGAGGTCGACATAACCAGTATACAATTATCTATTGGAGAGGTATATAATCTTCTGGAGTTATTTAATGACCTACACCATCATAACACTCCTTACCAAAACAAAAGTCAAATTGAGTTGTGAGGAGTTGATTTTCAGGAACTAAAAACTGTTTGGAGGGCAGCAGGAAACCACACCACTATCTTTGTTAAGAAAACATGGCAATTCATATAGATGAGAGAAAAGGAAACTGTGGAGAGTAATGATCACCTACATCCTTATGGGTCTGGAGCTGCACAATCCCCATGTTCCATCTTTTATAGAGTCCTTCTGCCATGCTTCATCTTTACAAGAATCAGATTAGACCCAAAACAAAATATTGCTGCTATATCTGGGCTGGAGCTGACAATCCTTACTTTCCAGCTTTGATATAGTCCTTCTGCCATGCTTCATCTTTGCAAGAGTCAGATCAGACCAAAATGAAGTATTGTTGCCATATCTGGGCTGGAGCTACACAATCCTCACTTTCCAGCTTTGATAGAGTCCTTTTGTTATGCTTCATCTTTGCAAGAATCAGATTAAACCAAATGAAATATTGTTGCCATATCTGGGCTGGAGCTACACAATCCTCACTTTCCAGCTTTGATAGAGTCCTTTTTTTTATGCTTCATCTTTGCAAGAATCAGATTAAACCAAAATGAAGTATTGTTGCCATATCTGGGCTGGAGCTACACAATCCTCACTTTCCAGCTTTGATAGAGTCCTTTTGTTATGCTTCATCTTTGCAAGAATCAGATTAAACCAAAATGAAGTATTGTTGCCATATCTGGGCTGGAGCTACACAATCCTCGCTTTCCAGCTTTGATAGAGTCCTTTTGTTATGCTTCATCTTTGCAAGAGTCAGATCAGACCAAAATGAATTATTGCTACCATGTCTGGGCTGGAGCCTCACAAACCTCACTTTCCAGCCTTGCTAGAGTTTAAAATCAGTTACAGTCTTGTAGGATGATGAATTATTCTTCCCCCTACATCCTCTTTTCCAACAGATGTATTGTCACAAGCCTATCACTACTCTACCAATATTTCAATGGCAAATGTTCAAATGAACTCTATTCTTTAGTTTCATCAGTTCAGACCTTTACAGCTAGGACACACTCTGCTACTTTCACAGTGTCAAATCAACCTTGTTTCTCCCATATTCCAAAGCTTTGGGTAAATAGCAGGACAGACCAGGATGGCAACTGGTCTACAGCAGAAAGAAATGGTAACCTACCGCAGGAAAAAATCTGCCTTGTCAGTCATGTATCGAAAGATACATGATCGCCTAAGTGTGTATCTCGCATGGCACATAACTGACTGAAGGAGAAATTTCCATCACAGCAGCAGCTTCTCCAAGAACTGACTCCCACGTAGATGCTTCCTTGTATATTATAATCTTGACCGCTTCAGGTCAAGAGTCAATTTTTATCAATTTTTCTTATCCTAATAATCTTCACACCCCACCACCCTCTCTTCATATCTCATTCATCATAATTTTAACAGTAACCCTGTAGCTTGACCTTTGTATTTTGTGAATTTTAATATAAAAAAAAACATTAAAATAATTCATTAAATGATGGACAATAACAATATGGCTATGTCCATATCCTGTTGAAACACTGGTTCTTGTTTAGTCACAAAAGTTAAGCAACATTGAGCCTGGTAAGAACTCAGATGGGTAGCTTATACCAGTTGCTATAAGCAACATGGCTTAAGACCCTATCACATTGAAACACAGGTTCTGATCCAATCACAGTTGTTAAGCAACATTGAGCTTGTTCACTACTCAAATGGGTGGCCACTGAGGAATAGCATATGCTGTAAACTATACGACAGGCCTAGCAAGCTGTTGATGGGTACAATCTTGTGACTTACACTAACAGATGACCTTGATATGTGGTGGTGCTTCTGGACTGACAGGTCATAAGACCTACCCTGGAGTTGGTTGAGTGATGAATGGAGTGATGGACAAACATTATTTGCATGCATGCCTTTTCAGCTTTGAACTGCAACAATAAATGACTTATATTTACTGTAATTCATTCTGTAATAAAGCTGTTTCATTTTGTTTACCAGAATATCAACCTCTGTGTTATTCAATGGTGAAATCTAAATATTTTGAACATAATTTTATGCATTCAACTCCTGATAAAATGTATTGTGGGTAATTGCACATTGATAACCACTGTCAGTAACCACGCTGTTGGTAACTGCGCTGTCAGTAACCGCGCTATCGTATGTGCTGTCAGTGACCATGTTATTGGTAGTAACTGCACTATTGTATGCACTGTCGGTGACCACGTTATTGGTAGGCACTGTCGGTGGCCGCATTATTGGTAGGCGCTGTCGGTGGCCGCATTATTGGTAGGCGCTGTCGGTGGCCGCGTTATTGGTAGGCGCTGTCGGTGGCCGCATTGTCGGTAGGCGCTGTCAGGAACTGTACTCTAAAAACATATTTTTATACTTTCATAGCGTTTTGTTTTTGTTTGAGAGTTCATTATTTTCCTATAGTTGGACTCTAACAGGTGCTACCACCCCAGGTCAAGGTGGACCTGGTCACAACAGCAATTAAGAGGTGGTTTCACACTCCTCAAAACTTTGAATCTCCCAATCATAGGCCTTGCTGCCAGATTTAGTTTATTGCCATATGTAGGACTGTGTCTGAAATAATAATGAGGAAAAAGTGCCTTGAGAACTTAACGCTCACAAGACATATTGAAGGCATATGAAATGGATGACAACTGTATACATGAATGGATGACAGGACAAAAATAAAGTGGGACAGTAAAAAGGCAAAGTTTATTACAAGCAAAAAGGAAAACAGAAAAGTGGAGAGCCATGAATACCCACGTTCTGAAAGAAGTATACTGCTTTGCATTTTTTAACTAAATAATTGGAATTTTAAAATTTTAATTAAATTCTGAAATTATTTCTTTTTTAATTCCAGATTAGTCAGGTAACAGCAAATTCTTTGGACAGCCAAAATTTGGTGCCTGTTTCCAGTGGCAAAGTAGTTGAACAATTAACAGCCTTAAATAGATTAACAGAATCCATGACTGGGGGATATATGAATGGGACTATGAACACTAGTATGCCGTCCAAGGAATTGTTGTCAGTCTATCAAAAATATCTGAATAATCAGTCCTCAGAGTTGTGAGTATGATTTATTAATTTTTTAACTTTGTTTTGCAAAAAAATATATTTTTATAACTGTCATAATTATTGATAACATAAACATCACTTTTGTTTTCCAATATAGCATAAATGTCAGCATACAAGGCGACCTTTTAACATTAAAAAAATCTCAACCCCCGCAATGTAAATAGGGGTCCGTCTTAAACTCCAGATATAAAATATGAACCTTAAATCCTGTGGTTTATAGCAAGTTCCTAACATGGGAGATTTTCGACAGTAGGCTAATCCATGCCTTGTTAAAGCAAATATTTGAATAGTTAAACAAAAACACACCTGGATGTGTGTCTCAACAATCCATTTAAAAATTGCATTTCAGAACAGTGGAATGAGTGGATGGTTAGTGCAGAAAAGTAATTCAACCTAGTGTATTAACCTACCGAAAACACAACACCCACTCATGAGTTATAATAGATTGTAGTAGTTCATTGACAATATCATCCCGCCACCACCATTTTTTCATAAGAATTCGAGTGAAAAGAAAGTATATGCTTAATGAATTTATTTAATAACTTCAATACAATTCATTTTAAAATACGATTGGTGTGTGCGTATTTTATGGTGAATATATCCCAAAACCTTCATTTAACTAGAAAATTTGGGGTTGTCTCATGCACTAGCATATATGGTGTGTGTGTGTATGTATATATGTATATATATATATATATATATATATATATATATATAATGTGTGTGTGTATGTATATGTATAAAAGTGGACATTGAGGTCAATACTCAACAACTAGGTGTTGACCTCAATATCCACTTTTATATCTACATACATCCTATCCCTGTTATCAAGCACTTAACTCATTAATATAACATACCTTAACACTATATTTTATCACACACACACACACACACACACACATATATATATATATATATATATATATATATATATATATATATATATAAACATTATATATATATATATATATATATATATATATATATAAAAATAAAAACCTAACTTTTAGTGTCTTTCCATATTTGAGTTGACAATCAGTTTATTTTCAACGGCATTTTATTTCATTTGCTGGCCTCAACATTCAAGAAATTTTATTAAAGAGAACGTGCTCTTTGGCAGGATTTGAACCTTTATCCCCTTTGCAGGAGAAACAGTCATTAGATCCAATGTGTTTATGACTACTCAGCTACAAAGAGCTTCATAATCAACTACTACTTTACCTTTGAAGCACCCTTTAATCGTTCAGATTTTGTCAAAAGTTATAACTGCTCACTTTTATATCTGAAACATAAACAAAGCAATTTCTAAAGAATTAAAGAATTTTATTTAAAGTAATAAAAATGTTTGATTAATAAAGAAAATACATTCTTTGCACACACACACACACACACATTTTATTTATTTATATATATATATATAAAAATAATATTCCTGATCAAACCAAATTCAGAAATAATTACATTGGTCACACTACTACATGCCTAGCCAAACAACTTACATTATACCTATCAAGTCACAGCTCCATCAGAATCCATTTAAACACTTACACAAACTTACCAGACTCCATCCAAAATAAACTAGTAGAAAAAACAAGCATAATAACCTCATCCCCTTGTAAAAAAAAAGATTAAAAATAATGGATGCCTCAATAATAAAAAAGAAAAAGGCAACACTCTATAATTGTGCTGTGTTCATAAAATAAAACATCCCTATAACTCTAGATACATACATACAATCATCCTTGATAATGGCTAAAAATATAGCTGAAAGCACTCAGAATTACAGAACTTTTGTACTGTTTCTACACACTCTGTGTACAGAAAAGAAAACACTTGTTCGAATACAAAATGAACTAAATAAAAAACTGAATTGCAGTACCTCATCCGTCATCTTTAATGAAATAATATATATATATATATATATATATATATATATATATATATATATATATTTTTTAATATACAACGTGTGTTAGCACGTGCGATACCCTGTCTTCATCAGCTGCCGACCAGGGGTGATATCACGGTTTCGGTGGCTATGGCGGGACCGTCACCCCTGGCGCCACCAGCAGCGTTTGCCACTAGGCAGAGTATGAAGCTAATTAATCGTTCCTTTAAGTAAAATCTATCTACAATGAAAGTTTCTCGAACGCATTTGCCGTTATTGACATGCTCGTAAACGTCATTATAGACGACCATGCAAATATCTCTCTTGCGCATGTTAGGTCGTGATGTTGCACGCATTTTATTTGCTTGTTTTGATCTCGACCAAATCCAACTTGACGTGTGTTGAACAGTTTTTTTGAAGGTGATGCGAAACGCTTTTCAACCAATGGCCAGTGATGCCTATTTTTGAAAGGAAGGAAATGACCGAATGTCCCAGAAACCCACGACACCCAATCTCAATAGGCATCACGTTACATGTCCAACCATTTTCCATACATTCGGCATGCATATATATATCTGTGAAAATTAGGAGATCGGCCGATTCCGCTAACTTGGTTTCAACCTTTTGGTATCTTCAGGCAATTCCAGTCAATTGTTTCCTAATGTTTTATTTTTTTTAAATTTAATTAATGCTTATTCTTTAAAAATAGGTGAATAAAAGCACTACGTGAAGGGTGATGGAAGGGGGGAAAGTGTAATAGCGCCAAATCAGCTCCCACCAGTAAATAAACGTTGGCCTCTGGAGCCTACACATGACCATGAAATCCAAACATTCCTTCAATTCTGCAGAAAGACTGCACAGCAGTAAAGAGACACGGGTCAACTTTCACATCTTGTCTTTAGCATCAAGGCAACAGCAGACTCTTTGATCTTGTCTCCTAAATCCACTTTCTCTCTTCCTCATTGAAAGACTAGATTCATGTTCGTTCCCTTACAGTCAAAGAGAACTTTCTAACTTTCATTTCAGGAATAAATTGTGCTTTTCTGAAACTTTATTTGAGGAAGATTATCTGATTTTAAAAAAAAATATTACTTTTAGCTTAAAATATCACAGAAAAGCATTTTTTGAATTTATTTTATTTCTGTCTATCAGTGAGAAAAGCACTTGGAATCATGCTTGTATTTTTGGTAAAAAATATGATTGTAAACAAAATAACTTCCTCAGTGATGAAAGCACCATTATTAGTGGCAACATCACAGGTGTCATCGTATTCCACTTAGGACCAACTATGCAGATAAAATTCCTCATGTATACTGTCTCCATGTCATTAACTACTTTGTGTTTTATTAACTGTATGAAATAAATACTTACTGGAATGTTTGAATGATAGTATTGTAGAGTAGGTGGCAGCAGTAAAGAGACACTAGTCAACCTTGGTGTCTTGTCTTTCTCCCCAAAGAAACAACAGACTCCTTTTCATCTTGCCTTTTGCTCCTTTGATTTGATGTTGTTCACTTCCATATACTCTACAATAGAATATCTAAAACAAATAGTGGCTAAATTTCTTTGATTTGTAATCTTACCCTAATCACTTTTGATTGGTGACACTGTGTTATTTCCTTGCGCCATCACAACATTCAAAAAGAGACTTTAAAATTACATTGCAGAATATGAGGTAAAGTTTTAGTGTTTTTTATTGGCCCTTGACCTGAATTGATATAAAACAGTGCTCATACCAGAATACTTAGGTAGATCCATTTTCATAGTGCTGCTGAAGAAGTCAGATTCAAATGAACGCGAATACCCTGTCATCGGACAGTCAGTCTAATGAGACACATAAGAAAACTTATCCAAATTCTGATGAATGGAGCATGCAGCAGAGCTAGGCCAGAAATAGGACACGCCTTATATCTTCTCAATCCATGTTCTTTTATTATTCTTGTTACTTATAAATGATTTTTTTGTTTTTCTCATATTCTCTAACACTCAGTAACCCCTTGTGTGTCAGTGGCTTTATTGCCTTGCTTGGGGTGAAATGATTAAAACAATGACTTATGATGAATAAATTTGACCATTTTAATGTTTTTAATATTTAGTTAAGTAAACTAAAAGAAATAAACACAACATGTTTAGAATTTAGTCTTTCAAGCATTATTTTTTCTTTTAATTTACAGTGGAAGCCAATTAATGGATACTATTACTTCAATTCTTGAAGTTCAAATTATGCCGCAAATTCAGGTCCCACCGCAACAAATGACAATGGTGCTTAACTCTGCTGATAATTTCTTAAAGAAATTTGAAAGTATGCTCCCTGATGAGAAAGGTATGTATAAATTTCTGTTATTTGTCATTGTTATGTACTAGCAATGGTATCTGGTCTTTTTTAGTGCTCCATTGTACTAACAAGGTCCACAGCCAACATAAAAGAAAAATCAGGAAATTATAAGAGAACTGAAAATTAGTTATGGCATTTCACTGCTTATAAGATGCTCCAATGCATTAGATGCCCCCACACCAATGTTTGCAAGGCAGAAATTGAAAAAAAATTTTGTCCTTCCCACTGTCCCCAATTTTACCCCCTGAATAGCATATTTCATAGTCTAACCCACTATCCCTAATTTTACCCCCTGAATAGCATATTTCATAGTCTAACCCACTATCCCTAATTTTACCCCCTGAATAGCATATTTCATAGTCTAACCCACTATCCCTAATTTTACCCCCTGGAAAACCTGGCTAATCATGATAAATACATCACAGACTTAGAAGTATGATGAAATAGGACGATGGAATTCCAACCCACCTGAGGCTAAAGAGCCATGATGTCTCACCTGCCTGATTGGAGCCTGTAGTGAAAATTGGAACGAAAATAATCACCCACCTGATCACAAACGGCAGCATATATGTTCTGCGTGAAAGGTTTTTTTTTTTGACTGGAAAAAACATGGCTGCCCCCGGCAAGCTTATATTGCGAATGGTCACGTATCCTCACGCGGGCGGTCGCATAAAACTACGGAAAATGAATTCAAGGCATGCAAATGAAGGAAGGCAGAAAAGGACATATAAATGCCAAACACTCGTCACTCAAGGATCGAAAAAAAATATTTTGCAACGTTGAAGAAGAATCGTGTAAAGGAGAAAACAGAGGCACAGGAAGAGATTATTGAGTAAATTGAGGAAGTTTATCAGTCGTCACGGATTCGCACCTGGATCAGAGCCGTCATTTGCAATTTAGGTAAAGAGCATGCATGATTAAAGTGCTTTTAAAACTATCGCTAATTAGCATGCATGGTTAAAAACCTGAATAAAAGGTAATCCACCCAGACGAGTACCAAATTTATGGTACCTATTAAGAATTTAATAATTAGAAGAGAAGTTAGACTGAAACCTAACCATATTGCAGCCTTAAATCCTCAGTAATTGTAACAAATTCATAACAAACTGGGATTATTCACTAATTTTTAATTAGAGACATGTAACTGTTAGATACAGAAATAATGTTGTTATACCTGAACGTACCTATTTCTATTGTAAATAGACTCTCCCATAGATAAGTAGTAGTAGTAGCAGTCGCTAGTGAAGCAGAGTGAGTTGTGTGACTCAGTCGATGTCGGACATTAAAGTATGAGCCCCACAACTAGATTGCTGCGTCATTAACTATTATTTCAAGTTTCTAACGTTTTGTACGTCGAACCTAATTTAGGACCGACTTAGTGAAATACAAGCTTCCACTGTGAAAATTACTTTACAACAAATGTCAAGTTTGATTTATGCATAGGTAAAAACATATGATATAGCTTACCGTTCTGCTGAACCCTTATACTGGTCTTATAGCTTGAAATACTCATTACCAATAATCTTGACAAGTTTATCCTATCTGCATCAGTAGCTTCTCTCAAAATGTTAATTTAATTTTGAAACGCTGGACTTGTTTTACTTTCAAATTGCTCAGAATCAGATGCAACTGGAATGCTGATGCTCACTCCACACTCCAAACTTATAACTCCCGTTACTGAACTTTGATTTATAGGTTGCTGGGAGATATTTTATAGGAAAAAAGGTTAAGGAAATAAGCAAAAAAGTAAAAGCAATAAATTAAACTTAAAAGTATCATTTCACTAGTTTTTAATTAATTTCTCTTTTTAAAATTCTCGTGTAGTATAAAAAATAAAATTATTAATTTTTACAAATTTTCATAAAAAATTATATTCTTAAACTATTTTTTATATAAGGTTAAAGAAAATTTAGTTTTAAACATAAATACCAATTTCTTGATTTCACTGCTAGTGTTTTTTTTTGTTTTTTAATTTGTCACAAGCTTTTTTTTTATTATAAAATAAATAACGACGAGTCTGAACAATGTAAATAGGGTAAATAGTTACGATACCTCATCTCAGAAATATAGACAAATATTAAATCCTAAATCTAGATTATTTACTAGCATTGTGACAGAGCTAATAAAACAGGTAAATATTTAACTTCAATCAGTCTGATAAGCCCATATATAAATTCTAATGATATATTTGACTAGATTTAATGGCCTTGATGTTACCTGAAATAATGACTAATTGAAGGTGTTTACCTGACCTATAAACAATAAAATTTCTTGATAAGATGCCAATTTGACTAGAGTAGTATTTATTTCTTTTGATAATAGATTAATCCAGCATTGCTTTAGATTTGTGCCCTTCTTACCAGTAACTGTTTGAATTTTATTTCAAAATCATATTTTTTGAACTAGGGTTGGGGTATTCATTTTACTTATGGATGATGGTATTCTAAGTATAGTTAAGATATGGTACAAGGCCGAAATATGTGAAGTTTGAAATCACTATTCAATCATAGCTGATCTTGCAAGACAATCTTGCTAACCTTTACATCATATCAAAGTGACCAAAATGACTTCTAAGCATAGCTTAGATATGGCATAAGGCCCAGAGTGTGGAGCACCCAGTGAGAATCAAACTTACTACTCAATTGTAATTCATCCAGTGAGACAAGCTTTCTAACCATTACATCATGTCGAAGTGCCCTAAATAATGATTTTCTAGATGTGGCACAAGACCAAATGTGTGGAGCACCCAGTGAGAATCAAACTCACTACTCAATCATAATTGATCCAGCAAGACAAGCTTGCTAACCATTACGCCATGTCGAAGTGTCCAAATTTTACTTATAGGCAACCAGATAAAAAAAAGTTAGCTGCTAATATCAAAATCAAACAAGTAGAAAAATTTAAATATCTGGGGAGGTGTTCTAACAGAGGACGTAAAGTGTGACACTGAGATCCGAAGATGCATTGGGATGGCCAAAGATGCATTTCAAAAGTTAAGAACCATATTAAAAGACAGAAAAAATCCATTGGAAACAAAGAAAAAGAGTACTGAACTGTTACGTGATATCTGTCCTTTATATGCAGCAAATACTGGACAATTTCCTTAAAGATGAAAAAGAGACTTGAAGTAACAGAAATGTGGTTCTATAGAATGACGCTGAGAATAACATGGACCAGACATACAAGCAGGAATGAAATTTTAGAGAAAATGGAAACAATAAAGACAATAATACTTAACATCAGGAAGAGGCAGTTGAAATTTCTGGGTCATGTAATGAGGAAGGAGGCTTGGAAAATCTGATACTCACAGGACAGATTAAGGGAAAAGAGGGACAGAGAAAAGCAGTGCATAACATACTTGTTTGACTAAATGGATGGTAGAGAAATAACAAAAAGACAAAATTTATTAAGAGGTACAAGGGTCAGGAAGATGTAAAGGGCCATGATTGCCTATGTCCTGAATGGACATGGCACTTAAAAGAAAACTCATGAAATTTTTTTTTTTTTTATAAAATGTACGGTTGTGTATGGATATCTCTCTTGTCTTATAAAATATTTTTTGGTTTCTTTTATTTAGGTGGCACAATTGACATGAACAAGATGTTTGATGGCCAACCTCAGCTGCAGAAGATGTATAAACAAATGGAGGATATGCCAGAAGTAGTTTCAGCTGTTCTCTTCAATGTCATCACCAATACTGACAATGTAAGGCAGTCCATGATATAAATGTTATTGTAAATTTAGGGGAAGACCTAAGAGTTGAAAATATCAATTAAATCCAACGAATTAATTTAATAATGAATAAGTTGGGATCCTTTATAAATTTAACATGTTTTGCTATTAGCTACATCTAAAATTTTGGAAGTGTAATGATGTTGCAATTTTTAAATTCTATGTTTGTTTTCATCTTACTTATTATAAAACGCAGATTGTGTGTGTGTGTGTGTGTGTCTGTACGTTTATATATTGGATCAGATTTCCTACATTTTTCAACCGATTTCAACAAGACTTCACAGGACTACGTAAAATTACCTTACAATTGTTTTCGTGCAAAATCAATGTGAAAACACGATTAAGTCGCCAGAATGAAAGGGGGACAACTCATATCGAGTTATACTTATTATAAAACCCAGGTTGTTTGTGTGTGTGTTCGTTTATATATGGGATCGGATTTCCTACATTTTTCAGCTGATTTCAACAAAACTTCACTTTTTTTTTTGGCAGGTAGTGTTTCTTATTGTCTTGCACACTTTTTTCTTTATTTTTACATTCAGAATGCTTAAAAAATTCCATTTACAAGACAATTGTTTATAATAAAATTCTATTCAATCAGTAGACTCATAACGATTGAAAACAATGTTTTTGTTTGAGTTTGGGTTTGACCAATTCATTAAAAAAAAAAAAATTAATTAAGACATGCGTGTCCGTCAACCTTAAACAATAATCTTTGTCAATTTTATTTTTCAGTCTTTATGATGGTCGATACTTGATCTATCTCTTACTGTTACATCCCCGGGCAACGCCGGGCTCTACTGCTAGTTGGTTATAAAGATGTTGTGTGTTTATGAAATGTTGTGGTTTTATGGAAAAGTGTGTCTGACATGTTTGTGTGTAGGTTATGATTCTGTGTGATAGATTTCCTCTGAATAATGAAATCTGTAGATCATACCCACCAAACCAACATAAGATGCTTTTCATTCAATGGGGACTTTTTCAAGGCAAAAACGAAATGAATTTATTGAAAACAAAGTAACTCTTAACAAACAAAATGTTCTTAGCAACTACAATGCTGTTGTATTCATATTGTCAACTGAAAATGACATCAAGTACTTCCACATGTAGAAATATTGTTTTTATTGTTGATGGATTCAACTATTTTCTTTTGATTTCTTGAAATAGTTTTGTACATTGGCTTGGAAGAGTAGTAATTCTATTAGGAAAGGTGATATTGGGAAGAAACCTGGGCATAGATTAATATTTGGATAATATACAATGACGGAATTCTCAAAGATTTTCTTTTTTATGAGTGTAGCATTTTTAAAATCAAAATTGTGGTTGAATTTATTTCTATGTATGCATTAGTTAAGTTTTTTGTGAGGTCTCTTTTGTGCTCATAGATGTGTTTTTTCATTTTAAATTTCTATTTGTTTCTCCAATATATTGGGAGGAACAGTTTTGACAATTTATTTTATAAATGCTTGCTTCAGAAATATTATTGCTATTAGTGTTTGTTGTTAATAGTTACTTTGTTTTCAATAAATTCATTTTGTTTTTGCTTTGAAAAAGTCCACATTGGACAAAACGCTATAATAAATGTTGGCTATATGTCTTTTACCTTTATACATATCGTTTTTTCTGCAGGTTAACTCTGAGAAATTTTTCATATATATATATATATATATGTATATATATATATATATATATATATATTAGATAGTTTATTGGAATGGTTGGCAAAACATCAGCTAATTGCCAATTGATTCAAACTTTAAACAGTGGTAAATGATAAGGATTTCCTTATAGTTGGTTCACATATTTTAATAATTTAGTAAATTTTTTAGAAAATTATGAATAAAAAATTGCTTTCATATTTATTTCTTGATAAATTGGTTAATGATAAATATTGCAATAATTTTAATTGTATTATTTTTTTAGAATGTTTTAAATATAAAATTATTCTTGTAAATAATTTAATAAATAGTGTTTGATATTTTTGTTGTAAATTCTCAAGAACAAAGAAAATGTATAAAAGACAAACATTGCCAAGTAGAAAAGGTAGTTAAAACAATAGCAGTGTCAAGGGGAAAACCAGTTTTTGTGGACACACAGAGGTTCAATTTGCAGTTGTAAAAAGAAATTGTAAGAGATGGACACATCTGCAAAACAATATCATGTCTTGTGGCAAAAGCTTCTAGTGGCACCAGAGGTCGCAGTACTGCCTTAGCCACCAAAACTGTGTTACCTCCCCTGGATGGTGACTGAAGAGGGCAGGATATCACATGTGCTTTCACACGCATGTAGAAAATTGTACATAAAGAAATAGAGAGCCTGACTTCAGTTAGGATGGATGGTTTATTTTGATCAGTTCTCTGATGTCATCATGCCACACACTACTAGCAGCATGGCCTGGCGTTGCTTGATTCAAAAATCGTATGACTCATACATCAATCGCTATCACTTGACTTAAAATATTTTTGCCCTTCCTTGCCTTTAAAGGAGTGCCCTTTGCCGTGCTGATGTTGCTACATGCCTTACTTCTTGCCTATCTCACACTGCAAATTTTTTATAAGCTCTATACTAAACATTAAATCTGTTATGAAAAAAGAACTAAACAAAATGAACACAAAACAATCAGCTTTAAAAAAGGACTCGTAACTGGAAAAACCGAATGAAAAAAGAATGTTAACAACAAATACTTTTTCACACCCAACCCAGTTCTGCGGAATCAGAATCAACATTGAGTTTAAGCAAGTGAATAAGCCAATTGGAGTAAAGTGCTTTGCAGATTTAAATTTTTCCCACTTGTGACAAATGCAACTATCGATTTTTTTTTTTTTTTTTTTTTTTTTAACATGCTAGCATGCTAGTTAACATTTGTGTCAGTCAGCTGTTGGCTCTCATGGTGGCCTATAATCTTCAAAAATTTAAATGCAACAGATTATAGGTTGCAGTTAAGCAAGAAATTGGGAGTTCCATTGATGAGAAGTGTGAGAAAAGAAACAGAAGTGGCAGTTGCATCTTGCTAGTTCAACAGTTAAATGATCAGACCTAACAGCCAATCTAGTAACACGTTTAAATTCCTGTAGTTGAGGCACAAAAGGAAAAAGCTCTTTAAAACAGTTATTTGTTACGTTCACTTATGTGTAAATACCCTGTTATGAATCCATTTCTTCTCCCCCAGCTATGGGTAAATGTTAGGACAGACTTAGGAGTCAACCAGTCTAGGTCTAGGAGAAGGACAATTCTGAATTCGAAACTTGAGTGGTCAAGTGGCCGGTGATTAATCCAGCTCTCTCTTCCAAGCTCTTGTCTGGTAAGGAGAGTAAGCAACACAAAGAATGAGCTGTTAAAGGGTAGATGAACCCCTCAGAGTCAACATCCATCCACTCCCAACTATGGGTTAAATAGCCTAACCAACCTGTAATTGGCCAAGCATGGTGAATACAGCTATACTCCTGAAGACATGGTCAATCAGGGAGGGGTTCCGTTAACAGGAGTGAGAAGGATTTGAATTTTTTTTCTTTTCAGTTGATTTTTTTCTTTACTCTTTCAGGATAAATATATGAATGTCTTAAATTCAGCATCCATCAATGAAATGGGGCAGAAGATGTGCAATTTGGCAAATAACGAAGGATTTGCTCGTATCGGTTGTTCTGTATTTGACTTGAATCGATACATAAGAAGAATGTGTAAAATGGATTATGAGGCATTGCAAACAGAAATGATGTCTTTTATGGCTGACAGCAATCAGGGAAATGAAGTAAGTAAAAAATTATATATCTTTTCATTAGTCACATATATTGGTTAGTTGCTTGGGTGATCAAATAGCTTGTGATCAGTGTTCTCTTTTTCTCTTTCTTTTTCTCTTTCTCTTTCTTTTTCTCTGTCTCTTTCTCTTTCTTTTTCTCTTTCTTTTTTTTTTTTTTTTTTTTCTTTTCTTTTCTTTTCTTTTTTTTTTTTCTCTTTTTCTTTTTTGGTCTCTTTCTTTTCTTTTTTTTCCTTTCTCTTTCTTTTTCCTTTCTCTTTCTTTTTTCTTTCTTTTTCTCTTTTCTTTCTTTCTTTTCTCTTTTCATCTTTCTTTCTATCTTTCTTTTTTCTATCTTTTCGTTTTCTCCTTTCTTTCTTTTCGTTTTCTTTTTTCTTTCTTTCCTTTCTGTCTTTGTTTTTTCCAGTCTTTTTCTTTGTTTTTCTATCTTCTTTTTTCTTTTATCCTTTGCTAGCTCTTTTCTTCCTTTCTTTCTTTTTTCTTTTCCTCCATTTTTCCTTTCTCTCTCTTTTCCACAGATGAAGCATTGCAAGCCTCTCATTGCTCTATCTCTATTTGCATGGCATTTGTTCTGATGAGCTACATCCATTTGTCCCACTGCCCCTGACCTTTACAACTGGGACCTGCCATATGATATACACAAATGTGAATCATCCCCATTTCCTTTATATTCCATTAGTAAGGAAGAAGTTGCATTCAGACAGCTTCTTCCCAAGAACTGTTGCTTTGTGGAACAGACTCCCGAGTGAATACTTTCCCCAGTCGCTGCCAAATCTGCCAAAAACATGTACACACCTTTTGGGAAAGGAATAACTACTGCTTGGGCAACATTGGACAAAGTGTCCAGTTGGGTTGATGCATCTAGACACACTTGATGATACTACAGCCATGAGGTTAATTCATCTTCCAAAAGAATATCGTACTACAGTAAAAAGTGTTAATACAATTCAGTAAAGCTATGAATGACAAGTTTTTACTTTCCTGAAGTGTGTAAGCTTTTTTTGGGTGGCGGATAGAGAATATATATATATATATATATATATATATATATATATATATATACGTGGCCTAGAAGTAAGAATTCTGACTGATGTTAAATCAGTCAGGTTTCAATCCCGACTTGAAGCAGTCAGACATCTAGCCACATTGAGGAACTATGATACAGCAAAACAGTCCGTCTGTGGATGACATACATATATATATATATATATATATATAATTTTTGTTCATTAATTTTGGATGCTTATATATATATATATATATATATATATATATATATATATAAATGAACAAAAATTAAACTTAGATATCTCAAAAAAGTAAGTCCAATTTTTTTTTAAATTTTCACTAAATGTAGACAAATAACAGTTCAGTTAGGCCTTAACTCTGTAAATTACTTGAAATGATATAAAGAGAGCTATGATTTATTTATTTTTTTCTCAAACATCAAGTATACCAAATTTCTGCAGTCTTGTAGGTTATACACTATTTTCCTCTATCCCACTTGTCTTCAAAGCCCTGTGAGTATTAAATTATCCAAGCCTTCATTCTTCATTCTGTGCCATAGAAATTTCAACTTTTTTATGATTGGTATGTGTCTTTTTTGTTTCTATTTTGTCTAAAACTTTCATTAACAATAAGCTTTGACATTGTCTCCGATATCAAATCCCTGTCTTGCATTAAATCTGATTGGTTTGTTCACAGACATTTATTTTTCAATATTATTTGCTGTTAAACATTTTCAAAATGACCCAGTATTTCAAAGTAGCAAGGTTGCATGGTAAGGGTTTTTTCACTTGTTTTAATGCTGCTCGTACTGAGTGAAACATTGATAAAAGAATAAAAAAAAAATTAACTTTAAACATAAACAAACAAATGGTTTTCACAAATTCTATCTTATATTTATTTAAATATATCGTCTATATTCTTTTTTTTAAGAATCAGTTGAATTCGATCGAGCAGGCTACGGATATTGAACCGTTAATGAAAACAATTGAAAAAGTGTGGAAGAAAATGCCCACATCTTCTGATGCATGGTCACTATGGGAACCAGTTGATATGTGGATGAATAAGATGCCGACCCTGATAGCCATGAAAGATGAAATGATTCGAATGGCACCTAAAATATTTAACCTTGAAAGGTCAGAAAATAATTGCTCATTCTTTTTTTTTCTTTTTTTTGTGATTTACATTTGGATGATTATCCTTATCTTTGTTGTTAACACAACATATTGGCTGTTAATTCACAGTCCAAAGAAAAGTTAATGCCACAGGCTGCGTCTTTTTGCTGTTATGGGGAAATTGCTACTGTTAACTGATCCTATCAGATATACTATATTTTAGAAATACATTTACAGTTTCTATAAAAATTCTGTATCTCTAAATATGGAAATATATGCTTTTAGTATTGGCTATATCACTAGATATGGAATCATTAGAGAGAATGAAAGTTTGTGTGGATTTTTTTCATAAATCCTAGCCATAATATTCCAGGTTCCATAAAGAGCTAGTATTCAAATCATTTCTAATGCATTCCTATAGTATTCCTATTCGCAATGAATTTTTATAGATGCTTTTAGTATTTGCTATATCACTAGATATGGAATCATTAGACGGAATGAAAGTTTGGATAGATTTGTTCAATAAATCGTAACCGTAATATTTCTTAAATTGCATTTTCATTTTATTTACAATTTCTCTTTACAGCATGAAATACTTGGAAGATATGTTTGGCATGTTCAATAAAATGATGCCATCAATGAGACCACTGATTCACTCAGCAGATATAAATTCTCAAGTTCAATATCATATCTTTAAATTTCTGAATCTTCAGCTTGCCAGAATTCAAGGTAAAAAGGCTCAATATTTTGTTTCATTAAATTTACTCTGTTTATCTAGTCATATCTTTGTTACATAAAGGCAATTTGATTTTTCACTTCTTTCAGAAAATCAACATTGCACTCATTTTATCTTTTTTTTGAGTATTTAGTTTTAAAGATCATCTGAAAAAATATCAGTCAGTTATGTGTCATGTGTGATATACGCATTTTTTGATACATGACTAACAAGGCAGATTTTTTTTCCCTCAGTAGGTTGCCATTTCTTTATGCAGTAGACCAGTTCCCATCCAAGGCTATAGAACCCAGTCTGTCCTGCTATTTACCCATAGCTGGAGGGAGAAGAAGAGAATTCATACCTTTTCCAAGGGTATTAGCACATAAGTAATTGTAATGAACTAGACTGGAATTCAAACTCGGCTCTCCGATTCCTCAATTCGAGCGGTTATCCATTATTACTCCACCGTGCCTCAGATGTAGAGAAATACCTAATGTCTGAACCACCTCTTAATTGCTGTTGTTCCCAGGTTCACCCAGACTTGGGGTGATAGCTCCTGTTAGGGTCCCAGGTATGGACAAATAGTGAATCCCCAAACAAAACACTATGAAAGTATAAAAATACATTTTTATAGTAAAAATACCAGCAATAAATTTTTTTATGAAGTTACCAACAATACCTATTTAAAGCAAAATTACCAAAAATACATTTTTAAAGCAAAATGATAAGCAATACATTTTATCTGTAACTGAAGGCATGTAATTGTGTTCAAAATATTTAGATTTCAACATTAAGCAACCCATAGTGATTGATATGCCATTAAAAAAAATCAACCAACTGACATCGACTGCTTCGGCAATGTTTATTTACAAGAATATAAAACTATTTGAACCAAAGAGAATGCCATATTTATTATTTACCTTTTATAAAGCTTTATTATTTAATATTTTATAGAGAATTAAATTTGAAAAGAAAATCTTTTTCATTCAAAAATTTATAAAGATTTACAAGATATGTAAATGGCAGATATGTTCTTGACCTGTTTTAGTGCATTTATGTGGCAACTGAAAGAAAATTTCTAATTGCAGTTACTTGTTAAGTGTTTATTTAAACTTTCTTGTCCAGATATTCTTATAAATTTATGAATAAAAAAAATTATTTTCGAAATTTAGTTCATTATAAAATGTTAACTATTAAATATTTAAATTATAGGTGGTTTACATATTTTTATAATCTTTGAGGCATGGTGGAGTCATAGTTTGTGGCTCAGATTGAAGAAGATTGAAGAGCTGAGTTTGAATTCCAGTCAAGTTCATTACATTCAATTACATGTTAATATTACTGGGAAAGGTATGAATCCATCTCCTTACCCCCCCCCAGCTATGGGTAAATAGCAGGACAGACTGTGTTCTATAGCCTTGAGTGGCAACTGGTCTAGAAGAAGGACAACTAAGAATTCAAACCAGCCTGGAAAATCCAGAGGGAGACTGCTGAATGTAGTTACTAACTCAGTACTATCTGGCATTCCCTGTAGCCTGCTTTCTCTCCCCAGATGTCACACACTTGTGTGCACGTCTATCATTGGAGTTGAAAGAGTTGCTGTGGTTCAGCACAAAACCATTGTAACTATATCAACCTATGCAAGGCATCTAGGTTGCTAGGTTGGGTCATCATTGATTCTTGATGGACTCCTTTAAAAAAATAATCCTGTAAATATAAAATAATTCTTGCAAATAAGCAATCTAATAAATAAGTAGTGTTTAACATCTTTGTTGTCAATTCTCAAGATTAAAGAAAATATGTATAAATCCACTTTCATATGTTTGGGTTTTATTGAAATTGTGATCATCACTTTATAAAATAAACATTGCCGAGGGAGTCAAAAGTGTATGCATTAATTGTGGTGTCAAGGGAATAACTATCCTTTTGACACACCATTTTTTTTGCAGGCACAAAGGTTAAATGTTATAATTTTTATCTTTTTTTGTGTGCTTTATTGTTATAAAAATATATGCACAGAAATATTTCATGTTTTGAATCCATTTATTTTTGAGAAATTGTAGCCAGTTTTTGTTACAATTTGTTCAGCTTTGAAGTATATATTTCATTATAATTGTTGGGGTGCACCCACCTTCTCATCAGAATGGACTGATCTCTCTACTACTAATAGGACAGTTCTATAGAGTTCTGGGAAGATCAGGTGACCATCACACTTTCGTCTCTCTACTACTAATAGGACAGTTCTGTAGAGTTCTGGGAAGATCAGGTGACCATCACACTTCCGTCTCTCTACCAGAAGATACAGTTGGACCTTATACTCTTTTTGATTGTTACTGACTAACCTGCGTTCGTTTGACTACTAATCTCTCTGTTGTAAATACCTCTTCAGATATACCAGTATTTTTCCCTACGTATGTGTTTGTCCTTATTTCAATACATGCATGTGGAAACACTCAACATCTCAACAATAATAAATACTGAATTTGATTTAGAAATAGACTAAAAAAAATAATATCACTTAAGCCATTATTCTTTAGCCAGTGATATTTAAAAAATTATTCATATTTTTTCTTTTTATTAGTAACCTTTTCTCTTATAACTCAGCCACTTGAAAAAGTCAGTTCTTTAGAAATTCCAGTTGAGATTATATGGAGTTATTAAAGGGAATGAAAGTTTGGATGGATTTGTTTCATAAATTTGAGTCATGATATCAAGCCAATATAAATGGACTGAAATATATATTGCTTACTTCTGTTCCTATTATATAATTACTTTTAAGGTATTCATGTTAAAATATTTAATTTTGTACATTGGAAATGTTTGCTGCTGATATATTTGTTGGAAAATAAACATTTATTAACTACACTCCCCTCTATAGAAAACCAGAATTACTTTCACAGGATAAAATCTTTTAAAGATATGTTTCATTTTTTTTTTAGAAGAGAAAAAAGTTGTGCTGTCGGATTTACTTGTATCAAAACAAATGCAGAATCTGTTTACCTTATTGGAGAATTCTCCAAGAACTCTGGCGTTGCTTCAAGACACATTAATTGATGCTTTTATAAATCCAAGCAAAGTGAGTAACCATTTTATGATATTGTTCAATCTATTTCTTCTCTCATCTTCCAATCTACAGCAGGGGCATTGTTCCCTTTATATGGACCCCATTAGAGATCACCCCCCCACTTTACATCACATTTGGTTGTAAGCTTCATAATCATTTCAATGGCTGAATAGAATGCACCCAACCAAAGCCACATATAGCTTTGAAGTTATTCCTTCTCCTAGACTGGCAGGCAACAAAATTCAGTGAACATAGTCTGCACTGCTATTTAATCCATATCAGGATGAGTAGATGAAGAAAGAAACTGATTCTTAACTTTCCTAAGGGGATTTATGCAAATGTGAATGTAATAATTTCAACCAAATTTTGAACTTGGCATGCCCTGATCCCAATTCATATGCTAATAATGTCTATATACACACATCTAATAGGAACAATATTACATACCAGTGTGTGGTCCCAATCAGAAAGCATATGCAGTCATGCATCAGTTTGTACATCCAATCAATAAGCATATGCAGTCAGTCATGCATCAGTGTGTGCATCCAATCAATAAACATATGCAGTCAGTCATGCATCAGTGTGTGCATCCAATCAATAAGCATGTACAGTCAGTAATGCATCAGTGTGTGCATCCAATCAATAAACATATGCAGTCAGTCATGCATCAGTGTGTGCATCCAATCAATAAGCATGTACAGTCAGTAATGCATCAGTGTGTGCATCCAATCAATAAACATATGCAGTCGGTAATGCATCAGTGTGTGCATCCAATCAATAAGCATATGCAGTCAGTCATGCATCAGTGTGTGCATCCAATCAATAAGCATATGCAGTCAGTCATGCATCAGTGTATGCATCCAATCAATAAGCATATGGAGTCAGTCATGCATCAGTGTTTGCATCCAATCAATAAGCATGTACAGTCAGTAATGCATCAGTTTGTGCATCCATCAATAAACATATGCAGTCAGTCATGCATCAGTGTGTGCATCCAATCAATAAGCATATGCAGTCAGTCATGCATCAGTGTATGCATCCAATCAATAAGCATATGGAGTCAGTCATGCATCAGTGTGTGCATCCAATCAATAAGCATGTACAGTCAGTAATGCATCAGTTTGTGCATCCAATCAATAAACATATGCAGTCAGTCATGCATCAGTGTTTGCATCCAATCAATAAGCATATACAGTCAGTCATGCATCAGTGTATGCATCCAATCAATAAACATATGCAGTCAGTCATGCATCAGTGTGTGCATCCAATCAATAAGCATATGCAGTCAGTCATGCATCAGTTTGTACATCCAATCAATATGCATATGCAGTCATGCATCAGTTTGTACATCCAATTAATAAGCATATGCAGTCAGTCATGCATCAGTGTGTGCATCCAATCAATAAGCATATGCAGTCATGCATCAGTTTGTACATCCAATCAATAAGCATATGCAGTCATGCATCAGTTTGTACATCCAATCAATAAGCATATGCAGTCATGCATCAGTTTGTACATCCAATCAATAAGCATATGCAGTCAGTAATGCATCAGTGTGTGCATCCAATCAATAAGCATGTACAGTCAGTAATGCATCAGTGTGTGCATCCAATCAATAAACATATGCAGTCAGTCATGCATCAGTGTGTGCATCAATCAATAAGCATATGCAGTCAGTCATGCATCAGTGTGTGCATCCAATCAATAAACATATGCAGTCAGTCATGCATCAGTGTGTGCATCCAATCAATAAGCATATGCAGTCAGTCATGCATCAGTGTGTGCATCCAATCAATAAACATATGCAGTCAGTCATGCATCAGTGTGTGCATCCAATCAATAAACATATGCAGTCAGTCATGCATCAGTGTGCATCAATCAATAAACATATGCAGTCAGTCATGCATCAGTGTGTGCATCCAATCAATAAGCATATGCAGTCAGTCATGCATCAGTGTGTGCATCCAATCAATAAGCATATGCAGTCAGTCATGCATCAGTGTGTGCATCCAATCAATAAACATATGCAGTCAGTCATGCATCAGTGTATGCATCCAATCAATAAACATATGCAGTCAGTCATGCATCAGTGTGTGCATCCAATCAATAAACATATGCAGTCAGTCATGCATCAGTGTGTGCATCCAATCAATAAACATATGCAGTCAGTCATGCATCAGTGTGTGCATCCAATCAATAAACATATGCAGTCAGTCATGCATCAGTGTGTGCATCCAATCAATAAGCATATGCAGTCAGTCATGCATCAGTGTGTGCATCCAATCAATAAACATATGCAGTCAGTCATGCATCAGTGTTTGCATCCAATCAATAAGCATATGCAGTCAGTCATGCATCAGTTTGTGCATCCAATCAATATGCATATGCAGTAAGTCATGCATCAGTGTGTGCATCCAATAAGTAAGCATACACTGTCATGCAACAGTGTGTGCATCCAATGAGTAAGCGTACACTGTCACACAACAGTGTGTGCATTCAGTCAGTAAACATACACTGTTACACATCAGTGTGTGCATCCAATCAGTAAGCATACACGTATGCAGTCTGTCATGTATCTGTGTTTGTGCATATGCTGTTATTAAATGTGTATTTATTCCATCATGTATTAATGCACTGTTATTTTAACAAGTTTTTCTTTGCTTAATATTTATAGTTGATGCCTCTACTGAGCCTTGATATGAAGGTTTGCAGTGATGTGCTGTTGTTTTCCAAGATATTCACCACTGACAGATTTGTTAAACTTGGTTACACTCCTGAAATGATACAGTCATTTGTCTGCAGTGATGTTTTAAATTTCAACTCTTCACAACTGTTGTCTGAACTTCGCAATACTATTCCAGGTTTACCCGAGTTGATTTCTGGGGTAAGTATTCAAATCACTCTTATATATATATACATATATATATATATATATATATATATATATATAGATGGACATTTTCTTAACAGTTGTAATTAGCAGGTTAGAGCATCTGCGAATTCAGATTTTAATCTTTTGTTCAGGACATTTACAGAGAAGAGGAGGGTAAATGATTTGTATCTCTGTCTTAAGTGTTTTTCATTTTTATGACCAGCAGTAAAGTCTGTGAAATGAGATCTTTGTGGTGGCCACCCACTTGATCAAAAGGAACAAAATAATAAATGAATGAAAACTTTTAGGGACAAGTGATAACAAATGTTGGGGATTTCAATTTGCAGGCTTATATAAGTAACCACAATTGGAACTGAAGTTAGTTCCAGGCTTCTGCCCATTCAAAGACATACTCAATAGCTATGCATCATAATGTAGAGATAAACAGATAGGTAGTAGGAGCTCACTAGTTGAAGGGAAAAAGGGCCCAAGTTTTCATTTCTCATCATGGAGTTAATTACCACCTTTTATTTCTTTGTAAATATGCTATGGACTTTTCCCTTATTTTGAGAAAAATTGACACAAATGAGAATAAAGACACAATATGTGGTTATGTGAAATACTAAGAGAGCAGAGCCTGTTGTATGCTTACAGTTGCCAATTTATCTAATTTGGTTTTCTTTACCTGTGAATCTAATTTGTTTTTCTTTACCTGTGAATCTAATTTGGTTTTCTTTACCTGTGAATCTAATTTGGTTTTCTTTACCTGTGAATCTAATTTGGTTTTCTTTACCTGTGAATGATAAATTTCATAAAATAAATTTAATAAATCTCAAATTAAGAAAAATAATACAGTTGCCAGAGAGCATTATTAATTTGTAATTCCCATAAGGTGTGTTTGGGGGGCAAGGTGGGGGGTGAATAATTTTGGGCTGCACAAATTATTAAAAAAATATGTAATTGTGAATATAATAAATCAAAACTTCTAAAAATTTAATGAATTATTCAAAACTAAATATGGAATCAACTATTTATGGTAAATTTAGTAAGTACTTGCAAATATTCACATTTCCTTAGAAAATATGCAAATATTCAGTGGGGGCAAATAATTCTGTCCACAACTGTATATATAAAAACGTTATTTTTAGTGAGTATATGTCTTTGAGTTGTATTTTATTTTCTTAAACAATAAAATTTGATAACAACCAGCCTAGGCTGAGAAGTCCTACTAAAGAAAAATGTGACTCCCCCCCCAACAGAAATTAAATTTGTATCCTGCTTGTTAGTTGCAGACTTCTGCCTATTCAAGTTCATAGACTGTCTCTCAAGAGATAGATACAAGCTATGCATAGTAATGTAGAGATAAACAAAGAGGGGGTAAGAGCTCACTAGCTGAAGGGAAAAACTAATCCATTAGTTTGTCATAAGTCGCAAAAATTATCCCAAGTTTCACCGACCTACCCACCTAGACTGACAAATGAATCCCAAAATAAACAGCCAAATATAATAGAAACAGGGTCCAAGCTTTCATTTCTCATCATGTAGTTAATTACCACCTTTTATTTCTTTGTGAATATGCAATGGACTTTTAGCACTGAATCCACTATTATAGATGGAGCATGCCAATTTCTGTAAAGACAAAAAAAAAACTTTAACAATTTTTATATTTTCCAGCTAGAGAAAGTGTTCTCTGACAATTCCACAGAAAAAACTAACTTTCCTGCACTTGCAAATGAGATTGTGAAATTCCAGAATTTATTGTCATCAACTCTTTCGAAACCTATCAAGTTTGAACTTGGTTTCAACATTAGTTGGATTGACAGAAACACATATCTTATGGTTGCACAAGAATCATTGCATATCATGCAATCTCTGATAAATAAACTCAACATTCAAAGGTAAGTATTTTATTCATCTGTATTTCTAAGATGAGGTACTGTAATTATTTACACTATTTACGTTTTTTGGACTGCTGTCCTCATCTTTGTTGTCATATGGCATGTGGAATTAGAACAATCTACCTGGGTGGATGAAATAAAGGGTTCCATTTGAAATTCCAATCACCTGAAGAAGGCCGGAGCATACAACGGTTGAAACGTGAATATGGCAAGAAAGATAAGGACAACAGTCCGAACAATGTAAATAGTGTAAATAAGTATTTTATTATCTTTTACTTTATACACTGCCACCAAACTGTCATCATAATGTTCTGCATTAAAGAAATAGGTTTATACCAATGACTACAACAAATGTATGTACTATGCATCTATAAAACATATGGATAACCTGAAAGAATAAAATTATATACAAAATATCTGGTTCTAGAACAGTTGCATACTGGACATTTATATCTTGTACAATTGCATCCCTGGATAATTGCATATCTCTGATAACTTTTTGAAGCTTTTAAAGGCAATAACCATAGATTTTGAAAAAAAAGCATACATAGTAATCATAAATTTTTAAAAAAGGAATAAAATAAAAAAAAAATTATTTTTGTTTAAAATGCAATTAACAGTTTTGCAAGATCGCTCTACGCATTGCCAGCATGTTTTTGTTTCATCAGCATTTTTCTTATAATTGGAGCTGTAATTTTCTTTGTCCATAAATGTTTTTCTACCAGCATTTGATTTTCAGAACTTAGCCAAGTAAGCTAAGTAATTATAATTTAATCATGAAATAATGACAGTCATTTGAATTATAAAGATTGAACTTTCAAATTTAAATTTTGGTATTAAATAATTCATAAAAGTTGATGTGCCACTTAACAAAAACATTCATCCTAAACCACCACCACAGGTTTAGAATCCTTCATCCAAAATTCTTGGGATCAGAAGTGCTTTGGTTTTCAGATTTCTTTTGAATTTTGGAATACAGGCATCTTAATTTGTATATATCATCTATAAAATGAGACAGCTTAGGAATGGAACCCATGCATAAGCATGATAGCCCTTTACATTTCATAACACAGCTTATACATTGTTGTAACCTAAAAAAGGTTACTGAATGAGGAATAACCAAAACGGAGGTTGGAAATGAAATGGTAATCTTTATAACATCAACAAAATACAATACTTGCTAGTGGCATGAAGTAGGTAAACCACTGCTAGTGGTGGACTACTTGGATAGCATATTACCCCCACTAACAATAGTGTCCAATGTACTTATGAGGATTGTGACATACTCATTAGTGTATGTAGGTACGGTATATAACATACATATACCCTGAAAATAGTTTTATGTAAAATTTAATGATGTTTGTGTACATACAGATCAAGATAATAATGCTAGTAATGTAATGCTGACACGGATTTTTAAGTGGTGAAATTAAGATTGTTTTGTACTTTCTGTACATGTACAAAAAACTACTTTCAAAAAATATATAAATGCAGGACATTTTGAATAATATCTTTACTGAGCATGAAACAACTGGTAAGTAATCCATGAACGAAGGTGTTACTGTGATGATCGCTAACAAAAAACAGGTGCCAATGTAGGCTACATGGATAGGGTGGGAAATCATTAAAAACAAGGAAAAGAGTACTAAACTGCTATGTGATATCTGTCCTCCTGTGTGGCCATAAGTGCTGGATGATCTCAAAGATGAAGAGGAGATTCGAAGCAACTGCAAATGTGGTTCCACAGAAGAAGGTTGGGGATACAATGGACCGAACATATGAGTAACGACAAAGTTTTGGTATAAATGGAAATGGAAGATAAACTAATACTTAATATCGGGAAGAGACAGTTGAGGTTTCTTGGGCATATAATGAGGAAGGAGGGCTTGGAAAATCTGATACTCATGGGACATATCGAGGGCAAGAGGAAAACAATGCGTAACATATTTAGGGCTTAGGAGAAATATGAAGAAGACAAAATTTATTAAGATCTACAAAGGACAGGAAGTTCTAGAGAGCTATGATTGCCTTGATCCTGATTCAGCCTTTATCCTGATACAGCATGTGAAGAAGAAAAAATACAGTTTTAAAAAATGAACAAGCCATTCATATCTGAGTATGCCTATCTGCAAGGGCAGCTAGTTAATCCCTGTTGTAGATGCCTGCTCAGGCACATTTGTGTTTGTTCAACACCTACGGAGCCCACCTGTGGTTTATACTATGACTATGTTGAGCAGACCTTAGTTACAGTTTCTGAAAAAGAGTGCATTATCTGATGTGATCAACAGTCTGAACAAGGCCAGTACACTCAAACCCTCAGTCACGATATCTTGCAACTTCATGCTACATGAAGAAGATGATGTGTGGTATGTCCACTTTAAAAGATAGCCTTGTGCCATATTCACTTTGAGTGGGTGGATGGAGAGATACCATCTGTTTTTTTTTGTTTTGTCTAAACTCATGTCACTATGAACTCAAACACGTTCTTTTCCTGATTAATCTTCTTATTGCTTTTACTATTAGTTTCAATGGCCTCCTTCATTTGCTGGATGCTGCTTCGACCACTCACTCTCCAATGGCAAATGACTTGAAAGTCAGTCTCTATATTCAACAACACTTCCTCAAGTTTCTTAATCGACAGCTGGCTAAAATTAATGGTAAGTTCTTTTCTTGACAACTTTGTCCTTCAGTCAAAATATTCTGCATTCATTCATACATGCACATAAATGTATGTACATTGATACACACAGTCCTTCAGATCTATAGATGCACAAGAATATACATACATACATACATACATACATATATATGAAAAATTTCTCAGAGTTAACCTGTATAAAAAGACAGTATGTATAAAGGTAAAAGACAATAGGAAAACTGTATTATTAGCCGACGCGTTTCGTCCAGTGTGGACTTTCCAAGGTAAAAACGAAATGAATTTATTGAAAACAATAACTATTAACAACAAAACAAAATGTCCTTAGCAATTAGAAAAATATAGAAAATTGTATTCATATTGTCGATTGAAAATTACATAAAGTACTTTCCTTTGTAGAAATAATTTTTTTATTGTTGCATTGATGAATTCAGCTATTTTCTTTTGATTTCTTGATACAGCTGTGTACATTTGTTTGGGAGAGTAGTAATTCTGTTAGGAAAGGTGATATTGGGGAAAAAAAAAACTGCGCATAGATTAATATTTGGACAATATTCAATGGCAGCACTCTCAAGGATTTTCCTTCTGAATGAATTATTTTCTTTTTTTATGCGTGTAGCATTTTTAAAATCAAAATTGTGGTTGAATTTATTTCTCTGTATGACTAATGCATTACTCTAATAATATTTCTGAAGCAGGCATTTATAAAATAAATTACCAAAACTGTTCCTCCCAATATATTGGAGAAACAAGCAGAAATCTAAAAACACAGATCTATAAAAACAAAAAGACCTCACAAATAACAACTAATTGAAAACCTATAATTATGGAGTTGAAACCTATAAATATAGAGAAGGCTACAAAAATTTATCAAAATGATTTGGAGTGCACTTCTCCACTGTGCAACAAATTATTTATAACTGGAAGGCATTTAATATGATGGCATCACAATCAAGAAGCGGCTGTCCATGAAAAACAACAGCAAGTGCAAGTAGACATTTAGTTCAGCAAGCCCAGGCAAATTCTACAGTAACCTTTGTGGTTCTTCAATGCTCACTAACCATGAAATCTCAACTGTGCCAATCTTCATGGCAGAATTCCTAGAAAAAGCCACTGCTTATGAAATAGCACAAGCATGCTTGCCAGAGCTCATAGTAATAAGCAAGAAATATTGTGATTTTATGGTTGGATGAGACTAAATTAGTGCTTTTTGGGAAGAACAAAAGCTGGTATATCTGGTGAGCTCCTAATATGGCTTTTCAAAGCAATGGAATCATCCACACAGATTACCAATTAACTTTATTTTACATATACATATATATATATATATATATATATATATATATATATATATTCGCAGCTAAGAGGTTACTCTTCAGCTTGTCCCTGTACCTAAGCAAGGGCTGACCCACGTTTCAATGACCATTGTCAAGTTGACCATACATGAGCATTTTTGGAATATATCACACTACCTTTGAGAACATCGTAATTGATCATAATGAATGGAAGATTACATGCTACAATGGCATCAAGAACAAGGCAGCATCAAACATTGTCAAGCTTCGTCAAACTAGGGAAAGGAATAAAATATCTGCTGTTGTTCCAGCCATATACTCTAAGAATCCAAACTCTTGCACAATCTTTGGACTTCTTTGCAAATCATTAGCAGGACTGAAATGTCACTTGCGACTCACACACAAGGTTAAATAAACAAAGTTGTCGGAACCTCATACGTTGAAACTGACGGGAGAGTTCATCATATATATATATATATATATATATATATATATATAGCTCTTCTGATGGAACTTAGAATGCACCAACTGCAGAGTATTGACACTGCACATAGATAAGGAACTACCTTCTGGTAGATACTTGAAAACTCAGTTATACACTCAACAGATGTTGACCTTTTTCAGCCTTACACAAACTGGACACATATCTACCTTTTTGAGTCACTCACAATCCGAACCTGTATTTACTATTTTGAGTTACTTACAACCCAGATCCGTGTCTACCTTTTTGAGTCTCTTACAAACTGAACTTATGTCTTGCTTTTTCACTCTCATGCAGTTATGTGAATGGGATAATCGGTTAGAATGAAAAATTCAGAGTGTCAGGTTCAAATTCCACTCAAGTTTGTTATATTCACTTTCAGTGTTTAATAATTTTGTTTTTTTTCTTTTAAAATTGAATATTGTATTAAAAACTTTTTGGAGATAAGTGATTTTTCAAAATTCAAGTTCTATTTAAGACATAGGTGGGAGGAATAAAAGATGGATTCATACCTTTCCCAAGGTCATTTGCATGTAAGTGATTGCAATGATTGACTGGAATTTGAACTCTGCTCTCTGATTTCTCATTCCAAGCTACTATCTATTACACCACCCTTGCATCCCAATTAACGGACTGACAATGTCAGCTGGGTAGCAATAACTGTTAGCTGTATGCAAATTTCTTTTAAGCAGTAATATCTAGAATCTTCATACATCCAATACATTAGAGACATAATTTTAATATTTTGCTTTTGTCATTGTAATATTTTGTAATAAGGCTTAAATTAATATTTTTTAAATTCATATTCCAGGAACTTCTTCGTTAATTCTTGTGGAATACGTAAATTCAAAAGAACTAGAAAAATTACTCAGCATGTTAGAATTTCGTCTAGATGATCCAGAACTAGAAAAGATCCTGTTTGATACAGCCCTTCATCTGATCCAACACCAAACAAAGGTAAGAAGTACCTTGATGACACATTCCTAAAAAAAAATATTTGCAGTTTCAGTGTTTATTTACATCATCTTCAGACTATTATAAAACCCAGGTTGTGTGTGTATGTGTCTGTTCCTTTTATAGATTAGATCGGATTTCCTACATTTTTCAACCGATTTCAACAAAACTTCACAGGACTATGTAAAATTACCTTACAGTGGTTCTGACAGTGCCAAAAATTGGAAAAACACAATTGTTTTTGCATGAAATCAATTTGAAAACATGATTAAGAGACATTGCTATCATGAGAATGAAAGGGGAACAACTCATATCGAGTTATACTTATTATAAAACCCAGGTTGTTTGTGTGTGTGTTTGTTTATATATGGGATTGGATTTCCTACATTTTTCAACCAATTTCAACAAAACTTCACTTTTTTTTTTGGCAGGTAGTGTTTCTTATTGTCTTGCACACTTTTTTCTTTATTTTTATATTCAGAATGCTTTAAAAATTCCATTTACAAGACAATTGTTTATAATAAAATTCTATTCAATTGGTAGACTCATAACAATTGAAAACAATGTTTTTTTTTTTGGGTTTTGACCAATTCGTAAAAAAAAAAAAAAAAAAAATAATTAAGACATGCGTGTCCGTCAACCTTAAACAATAATCTTTATCAATTTTATTTTTCAGTCTTTATGATGGTTGATACTTGATCTATCTCTTACTGTTACATTCCCAGGCAATGCTGGGCTCTACTGCTAGTAGCTTATAGAAAAATGTTTAGTTAATCAAGACTTAACAGCAGAATATATTGTTTTGTGGAACTGTCATTATTTACACTATTTACATTGTTTGGACTGTTGTCCTCTTCTTTAATGCCTTATTCATATTGTTTCGACCATTGTACGGCCTTCTTCAGATAGTTGAACTTTCAAACTGGACCGTTTATTTTGTCCACTAGGTCAGATTGTTCTAGTTCCACATGCCATACCTTTTCTGGCTATCTCACTATTAGTTTTCTCTCTTTTAACTCAACTCTCCAAGTTTTTTTTATTGAACTCACAAATCTTTGGGTCTGGTTGCTGGATTACCGTATTTTCCAACTTACAAGACACTGCAGCTTAGAAGATGCACCCTAATATTGGAAAGAAATTTCTAAGAAAAAAAAAAAGTCATTCTCATGCAACAACACATTCACCGTGCGTCTCTCACATAGTGGTGCCACGTAAGTAAACAGAGCATGTTTAAGCTTGTGGCTCAGCTCCAGGAAAGTTTATAGTCTTGAAATACTTGTAACAGCTAATTACTGAGGTTACATCATATAAAAGGCTGGATTAGATAGATAGCTAACATTATAGTTATAATGTTAGCTATCTATCTAAAGATAGGGAAAGACATTAGAATAATCATGAATCTAAACTGGCATCAAACCATCTGCATACGAATAGAAAATGAATTTGGCAGATATACAAAAATAGAAAGGCATGTAAGCCAAGGATGTGTCTTACAGTAAGGCAATTTTGGGAGAATTAGAAGTCCTACCAGGATTCATTACCACAATCTTAATAATATAAGATATGCAGATGACACAGTGTTGATAGCAGACACAGAAAGGAAACTACAAGACCTCCTACAGAAGGTAGCAAAGGGGAGCGAGAAGAAAGGAATAAGCATAAACTACAAGAAGACAATGCATAGTTATCAGCAAAATGATGAGCCTGAAATAGAATTTACAGGTCGGGGATACTAAAATCAAACAGGTGCAGAGGACAGAAAATGCAACATTGAGATCTGAAGGCGTATTGGGATGGCCAAAGATGCATTCCAAAAGCTAAGCAGAGGATTAAGAGACAGGAAAATTTCATTAGAAGAGTACTGAACTGTTACAAGATATCTGTCCTGTATAGCAGCAAATGCTGGACAATGAGAAAGAAACTTGAAGCAATAGTAATGTGGTTCTACAGAAAGATGCTGAGGATACCATGAGCCGAACATGTGAGCAACAACAATGTTTTGGAGAGAATGGAAACAAAAATGAAACTTATACTTAACATCAGGAAGAGACAGTTGAAATTTGTGGGGCATGTCATGAGGAAGGAGGGCTTGGAAAATCTGATACTCACAGGACAGATCGAGGGACTGAGGAAAGCAGTGTGTACTATACTTGATGAGCTTGAGTAAATAATTGGTAGAATGAGGTTTGGGAGAAATAACAAAACTTAAGATCTACAAGGGACAGGAAGATGATTGCCTACATCCTGAAGGGATACAGCACAAAAAAGAAGAAAGATATATATATATATATATATATATATATATACATATATATATATATATACACACACACACACACACATACAAGAAGCAATTCAGAAGATAGGAAATTAAGTATTCAGGCGTTCTTTTTCTGTCTTAAGGAAGCAGCCAATTTTAATGGATATATTTAAAAACCTAACTTCAAGTCAGGGGCTTTCCACTGCTACTGGTATTATTTATTTGTGCCTTGAATATTGCTATCATATTTGGTCTGGTTCTTGAGATCCTTGACAAAATCCAAGGAAGGGTCTCTAATGTAAACAATCCTGACCTTACTTCTCAACTTCAGTCACTTTCCCACAAAGTGACATGGCCTCCCTCTGTCTTTTCTACAAATATTCTCAAGGTAATTGTTCTAATGAGCTTTCCTCCTTGGTGCCATGACTGCACAAACTTAAACATGGTACTAGTTTGGCAACTAAGTGTCACTGTTTACTGTTGAACTAGCTAAATGGAACTGCCAATTCTATTCTAAAAGCTTCTTTTCCCACACTTCTCGTCTGTGGAACTTTCTTTCTGTTTCTTGCTTCCTTGCCACTGACAATCTTTAAAACTTTAAATGCAACATCAATCACCATCTGTCTACCAGTGTGTCCTATTCCTTTATTGTTCTTTTCCTCACTTCTCATTCTCTTTCACTCCCTGTACGTCCCTGTGTCCTAGTGGCATTATTGCCTTGCTTGGGGTGGTGAAATGATAAAAAAAGTAAAAAAGAAACGAGATACCTAACATTTAAAATAGTTTTAATTTCAAGCTGATAGATTAAATTTAATGTTTCTATTAAACAAAATACTATTCTGTATTTCAAAACTAATTTAAATTGATTGGAAGGCGTTTTTGTTTTGAAATTTTTAAAAAATATTTCAAAAATAAAATGTACTTTTCTGCAACTTTATTTGAGGAATATTAACTGATTTAAAGTATGATTAATCTTATAATAGATTATTATCTGATGTTGTTCTATGTGGGTGTCTTTAACCATAAAAAATAATTAAGGAATATAACATGAGTACCTTTTAAGTACTCAGTAATGTTAAATAATTAGGAAAATATTCTTTATAATCTAATGTTTATTGAATTTTAGAGAATTTTGGCTCTGAATTAACAATAGTTATCGCTCTTATTTCTTGATAATGTTGAGTATGGGTGACCATACCTACAAAAATCGCCATTCAAAATTATTTTAATAATACTCAGAACCATCAGATTGTATATAAGCTTTACTAATTAGTAAATATATTTTTACTTAACAATATTTCTTAAGAGTTTCACCATTGAAAATGAATTTTAAAAGATTTAAAATTATTATAACTTATTCTAATTAAAATTATAAAAAAATGAAAACAAATCTTGTAAATTTTTTTTTTCTTAAGACAATATTGTCTTTAATATATACGAGAAATTAAAAGCTTCTCTGATTAAATAAAGTTTTTGTTTTATTGCATTTTTTATTTTGCCATTCTGTGCAGATTTTTTGAAAAGACAATGACTAATTTAAAAAAAAATTGATTTAAAATCTCCAAAGAGATCTGCTTTTAACTAATATAGTCACTAAAAATTATCACACTGAATTTCTCAACTTTTCATAAAATTAAGTAAGGTGAAACATAAAAAAAAAATATTTTTACCAAGATTTTCTCAAGAAAAGCATTTCTAAAATCATTTCATTAATTTGTGAATAAATCCTAAAAGTTTAAAATCAGACAATTATTTGATTTTTGCAATAATTTTGAAATTAATGTCTTTTGCCAAAAAAAGACAGTAAAATTTGTTATGCTAATTTATAGCTGATACAAAAGAAAAAAAAGAGTTTTAATCAAAATTTCAAATGTTCTAAAAAGGATTAAATCGTTTAATTAAATATTCAAAAAATATTTTTTCCTCTTAATAATAACATAAAAATTTTAAACAATAAAACTTTATTTTCATTAAGTTTGGAGCATTTTTTCATCATGGTATGCGGATTTTTTAGTGACTTTGTGGAGTGACCCAAATAAAAATAACCCAGAATTGTAGAGGGCCGTGGCTGTTAAGTTGTTGATAGAAGTCAGACGTAGAAGAAACGCAAGTAAGGTTCAGATACTCCTGCTCGCCGGGCCCAACTACATAAAAAGGTTGGACTTTGATTAAGTCCAAAGAAGAAGGCAAAGAAAGCAAACAAAACACAAGACCGATAATATATGTATATACAAATATATATTAATAACAAGTTACAATACATGGAAACAGTACAAAGGATGAAGTGTATGTGAATATTCTGTATATGCGTGCATGTGTGAATATTCTGTATGTGTGTATTGTAAACTGAAAATCCTGAGGAAAAAGAGAGATTTACCTCAAGGTGTAGGCGCACAGGCCTGAAGGAAAAAGAGAGATAGAGGCGAAGGGTCAGCGGCTATTTATAGCCAGGGAAGAGAGACCCCTGGTGAAAGGGTTAATGTACTAAAGGAGGAGTTAACTCCGACAGAATTATGTGCCATACAGCAATATTAACATTGTATTTGCTAGTCATATGACTCTCATAATAGAGCCATGAGCTAATTATAAATATTAATCATTTACTGAATTGTAATTCTAATCTTATCTAATTTCTGTTTATTTTTCATTGAATCATCTGATAATAAAGTAAATGGTCAGAAAATGTTTATTTCCATTGATTGATCCACCTTCGTTCTGGGTGCAAATCTAACTTATGTCTGGATATATGTGTTAAAGCCACAAAGAAAAAGAA